ATCCACCATCCCATCAGGCAACGGAGGGAGCCTTGAGTGACAGATTCCAGATTGACCGCAGTGTTGCCCTTTGTACCACCGGGAAATGTGCTAAACTATTGAGGTATCGGGGGGTTACATTGACCAACGAGACGAACTCTTGGGATTTTGATGTGTCATTCCAGAAGTCCTTAAGTCCTAGAGAAGCCTCATCTCGGGCACTCGCAACTGACTTCACCCGCAGACGCCGAGTTCTTGTACTCGATCCCGAATACAGGAGGAAGCTGCAGATGTACGGCGCCAGGCAGCACTTGAACTGTGGCTTTGCCCAAGCCAATCGACGTTCATAAGATGAGTTTGGGGCTGCAAGGTGCAGATCGCCCAGCTCTCCTGCTGTCATCACTATGTCTTGCTTATGAATAATATACATATTGTTCATCGCCTGGTATCCTGCTGCGCCACAGACCCAGAGGACATAGTCGGGGTGAAGCTTGGCAACTGGGGTTCAAGTGGAATAAGGCTACTGCATCAACTCCCACACTACGGAGTAGACCCCGGTCCTGCGAGGTTCCCCGCGGGGGCCCGTTGTATAGAGTCACGGCTACCTACTCAAGTGGGCAGAAAGAAGCTCTAAGGTCGGGGTCGATTACGGAGTGAGATCATTTGCTTGGAAGTGAGACAATGGCATCCAAGGAGTACCTACTCACTGAGGAGCCCGCAGTGCAGGGCCAGCTGAACTCTGCGTTACACCGACTGCGGCAGCAGCCTGCCCTACGCTCGTGATGTGTTCCTTCGTGGCTATGCCCCCCAGATTGACGGCAGCGATTTTTTGTCTCGGCGAGTAAGACTCATTTGGGAGGGTAACATCTGTCGATCGCGGGGACCACAAGTGTACTTGCCTCATCGATAGATGGAGGAGGGTGTCCAATGTCTGCCCCTTCACTGCCCGCCCGTCCTCTACTGTGTGTTCTTTTCCACCCGAGTGCTTGTTGACTTTGCACATTGCACCGAGCCCATCCACGACTCCCTAACATGTTCATCGTTCAACGCCCGAGGACTCTTTGCATCGATTATCGCGAAGTCAATGGACGCGGCCGCCGTTCAGGAGACTGAGGAGAGCCAGAGATTCGGATAACAGCGCTGCACAAACAACTCGGATTGAGATGGATCCTCTTTCGATTGCCGCCTTTGCTCTGCAGATGGTCGGAATAGCCGGCAAGATCGTAGAAGGCACGGGCAAGTTTGTCCAAGAGAGCAAAGCCATTTCCTCGAGCATCTGCGAATTCCACGAGACCATCCGGAATCTACACGCCGCGCTGCGCAATGTGGCTCGAATCCTGAAGCAGCACCCGCATCAGCTTTCATTTGAGAGAGAGCATCACCAAGATATTTACCAAATTCTCAAATCATGCCGCTCCTCGCTTGACAGGCTGCAGAAAGAGCTACCGGAGCTTGACGACAAGCCGGGTCCGATTGATAAAGCTAGAGCGAGCTTTACCATGACGTTGAAGTCGGTTGTGATTCGCGATCTGGTCTCTCACATTACGTCGTATACACAAGTGCTTCAACTCAGTCTGATAACCCTGTCTCTGTACGTGAAACCCTTCAAGCAGAACCCTTTGGTGGATCGGATGACTGACTTTAGAAGCGGCTCATTATGGACTCAACAAAAGTCTCAAGACCAGGTGCATGTCGCAATCAGAAACTTGACCGACGAAATTCGAGCCGCGAACCTCATCTCACGTACGGGCAAGGGTCAACGACGACCATCAACGGAATGGGACGACGAAAGTGACACAAGAATGGATGAATCCCTGTCTGTCACAAGAGAGATCCAAGCCTGGCGAATGTCGGCCGACGAAGTAGCAGCCGCAGTCACTTTGCAAAATGCAGACCAACACCACTCGTTCTTGTCGTTCAACTCATCGTACACTAAGTTGGCATCGGGAAAGGACCAGGACTCTAAACAAACATCAGGAGACGTTGACTCAGACGACTGGGACCCAGAGCCCGAACATCCAGACGGACCAAGCAAAGACATCCTCAGTCACCAGTACGACGCGAACCAAGAAATAGTCGACCGCCTGGTAGACTGCGGAATATTTCTCCGGGCTTCGCTATATCAGAAGCGGGGCATCGAGATCCGAGAACAGCTTAGCCAGCCAGGATACGACGTTGACTTTAGCTTTGCCGAGCAAGCTGTCATGAAAGAGCGACTCGCCGATATCCTTTTAAGAAGTGAAACAGAAGAGGAAATCACCGAGGCGAAAGGGATTCTGCAGGACTTACTCCAGGAAGAGGTGAAACAACCCGAGGAGTTTCGGAATAATGAACGGCGAAGTCGGCTATACCACGACCTGGGGAGTCTATACATCCGACTCGGTAATCTAAGGCAGGCAAAGACGTTCCTAAGCCGAGCTCTTGAAGGCCGGAAGAACCAAGAACCCATCCCGGTTGAACTCGTACAAGAGACGGCAGATTTGTACATCAAGGCTCTGCAACTCGACGGGGCATTTGACGAAGCGCGCGGTGTGGAAGTCTGGGTCAACACCGTCATCATCCCGCTGACAAGCCGTCCTGCGTCGCCCCCTGATTCAGACTCTGTACCAGACGCCAGGAGACCGTCCTCCATGGGCGAGCTCTCTCAAGCCTTTCAGTGGTGTCGCGAGAACGGATTCGACATCGATGTCCCGACCGGCTTCCGCTTCGACACCTGCGACTTCATGACACGAACCTCGCCGCTCCATAAGGCCATCCAAGACGAAAACCTCGAGGTATTGAGGCAAATGGTGGGACATGTGGTCAGTCTCGAGAACGGGGGCAACGTTGGTCTACCGACGCCCTTGCTGCTTGCCGCGTCGACCAGGAACCGTGACAGCGTTGGGCTGTTGTTACAGACGGGCGCGCGGGCTGACGTTCGTGATAGTGCAGGTCTGAGTCCCCTACACCGATGTCAGAACAAATCCGGCGGCGTCAATGTTGCCCGACTTCTCCTCAAAGACACGCCTAACCTTTTGGATCTCATCGAAAATTCGGGAAAGACGGCGCTGTATATGGCTTGCGAGATGGGGAACGAGGCAATGGTCCGGTTCTTGCTGGGCGAAGGAGCCGATCCCAATATCTGCCATCAGACGAAGAGATCGCAGACGTCGTCCCCCTATCTCAGCAACAACAATGTGTGCACTCCCCTGATTGCCGCGATCCAGGTTGTAGCAACAAAAAGCTCCCGCAAAATCGGCATGATCGAAGTGCTCCTTTCCCACGGCGCGGATCCTCGCTTGACCGATGCAAATGGCCGGAACGCTTTCCAGGCGGCTTCCAACTGTGGACTGGCCGGGTCGGAGATCAAGCGACTCCTTCAGCAGTATTCGCAGACGTCGACTCGAAAGTCTAGCGACGCATCCACGTCGACCATCTTCACTAGGTCTTCAACTTCCAGTGACCACGCGTCTCATGAATCAGGCCGGCGGAGTACCATTATGAGATTATGGAGCAAGTCAGAGTCTTCTCGTTCAGGTGTTGGCTCAGTTCCGGAGGGGGGATAGTCTTGTTTGTCTGGAGCAGGTTTTTGTGTTGGATATGTTATTTTAGATACCCTTGCTTCAGAAATGTACGTGTACATCTTCATCGCGAATTAATTGGAAATTCCGAAATTGCGAAGCGAACAATGTGAAGGAGAAGACTCTAGGGCTACCAATCCGTGACTATACAAGCTGAGGTGGAGATAGACACCTTATATACTCAATCTCGTGAACGTATGAGAGCGAGCGATGAAGCGTACTCATCGCTGCTCTCCATACTTGACAATCTTCGGCAGCATCCGTGTCGGTAGATCAACAGAGACGTTTCAAGCGAAAGAGGATGCCTACCGCAGCTCGAAGTAATGAGAGTCTGGGGTATGGTATACGTTAAGCCCATATCGAAATGAGAACAATGGCTTATGTATGGCGTATGAACAGGGCATGTCTTTCTTCCGACGTTACCATGCCATGGTGGTGTTGTCCTGACATCACCGTCTCGGCTGCCTCATATAAGAATGCCATCTCACTACTCAACGATCAACTATATGGACGTAATTGACAGTATCGGTCTACTTCAATCTCTAAGCAGTCTTGGCCGTTCAGCGTTCCCATCCAAATGCGGCAATAATCCAAGGTCATATTGAACATCCCGGCAAGAGAAGGCGGGAGTGGCTCACACCTTCCCATTGTCTCATGAGACGGGAAGGAAGGCCCTCAAGGTATCCCACCCACCTTCTCTCTGAATACACGAGAAAGGTATATACCCCTCCTCAATCTAATTCCTGTCACCAGCACAGCAGGCGCCCCCTAGGTCGGGGGTCAGGTCAAACTGTGGCGTGGGTGGTGGAATGGTTAATGGTCAACAATCAACTATCTACACCAACCAGCCTACTCGACGACAGGCTAAGCGCATACGAGAGTACCCGAGTTCGAATCCCAGCATGAGCACCAAGAGATGTAGCCCCCAGTTCAGCGCCCGGGGGGGTGAACTCTTTTTAGTCCGTGGTCGTAATTAATTTGATTGCCTAGGGGTTTCTTCTGCCTCTAAGGCAGAATATATAAATAAAAAAATATAATTATTCTACTAGGTAATACTATGCCGTCGTTGCTCAGAGAAGTCTGATCAAAAAATATGTGTTTACCGATATGCATCTGTATACACATGAATAGTATACCTAGTAATAGAAACACACCATTACCTGTCCATGGAAATCCTGTTCCATCCCACCTCTCCTCGGAAATGATCTGTGTTGGAGTCAACTTATTCAGTCGATAAACTACGACCTTAATGGTAAGCTGCCAATCAGCTGCTGAGGCTATGCGTACCTCTTGCAGGATTAGCCGCCGGACCTCACATCTGACATGCAGCCAAGGTACCGCCTATTTACACTTACCTGCTCACTTGAATTTTGCAACAATCTCCTGACACTTAGAATCATCATTCTCGTTAGAACTTGAGTTTTTACCAAAGCATTGAGGAGGAGCCACACTACATTCATAATGGCAGAATGGCACGACCCGTCATGCCGGCGCCTAGACGTCTTCACCAGCGGCGGCATCTCCAGCTGCCTAAGTTGCGGCTCCATCCAACTCGATCTCGATACATTATCACCACCAGAAACAAATGACGAGGATAAAAATACAATAGACACTGCCGTCTACAGGCCCCTAGAATCCCAAACAGACATCCGCCTCCTCACCCTAGAGCCGGGGGAATTCGCAGACCCCATCAGATGCACCCTCGCCCTGAGCAGCACCGCCAGCATGATAGACTACGATGCGATCTCCTACACCTGGGCGAGCGAGGACGGCGCGATGGCCTGGACGCAGCCCATCACCCTCGACGGCCGCGCCTTCTTCGTCACGGCCAACTGCGAGACGGCGCTGCGGCGCGTCCGCAGCCGCGGCGCGCAGAGAGTCGTCTGGATCGACGCCGTCTGCATGAACCAGCAGGACGTCGAGGAGAGGGGCCACCAGGTGCGCTTGATGCCGCAAATCTACTCCCGCGCGCAGCGCGTCCTCGTCTACGTCGGGGAACCGGTGCCCGAGGAAGAGGCGCTCTTCCGCTTCTTGAATGATCGGGACACGACGACCCCGGATCTGCCCCGGCGGCTGTCGCTCCAGCAGGCGTTGGAGACGTTGCTCACGCGGCGGTACTTTTCGCGGGCATGGATTCTTCAAGAGGTGGCGCTAGCTAGGCAGGCGACGTTGATCTGCGGGCAGTACGAGATGCCCTGGTCACGGCTCCAGATCCCCTGGCTGGCGGACCGATGCTTGCTCATCAACACGAAAGAGAAGCCGCGGCTGCTGAACATGCTGCAGCTGCCGTCCGTTCTGCAGTTTCGGGCGCCTGCGTACAGGGACTCGAGTGACCTGCTCCGGCTCCTGGACCTGGCGCGCAACAGTCATGCCTCAGATCCCAGGGACAAGCTTTTCGCCGTGTATGGGCTTATATCTTGCGCGCAGAGCGATGGGATTGTAGCGGACTATACGATGTCGACGAGGGAGGCGTATATGCAGATGGCTAGGTGGATTGCGCAGAGGTTTGGAATCCCGGCGTTACTGCTCAGGTCGTTTCACGTCGGCGAGGTCGGCGAGGAAGCGGATGAGGGGGATGAAATGGTCCAACAGGAGAAGCCTGAGAAATTCAGAATCCCATCATGGACGCCGAATTGGACACATAAGCCCTCTTCGCGAGTTATGCCATTGCTTACGGAGATGTATGACGAGACTGCAGCAGGATTTGGTCCAGTCGGCCTCCCAATCAGTCTGAAGGTGGCTGAAGACTCCCTCGGGTTTCCAGCTTTCAAGCTGGGAAAACTATGTGATGTCCTGAGCGAGTACGATGCCCAAGCAAGAAGGGCAAGTCCTCCGGGATCAGTCGTTGCAGCAAAGCCATGGCCGTATACGGTCTTCGAAATGTCACATCTGGGCAGGAATAAGTCGTGCGATCAGGTGGCATTTGTTTTCTGGACGCAAGACCCAACGAACCCTCAGCGACCTCAGTTTCCCGAAGTCGAACAATTGTTTAGGAAGCTTCCAGGCCATGATATCACGGCTTACGATGCGGGGCGCAGAGAAGAGTACCAGGACCTTTACGTATATCTAGCTCCCAAGGCGGATAAGTACGATGGATTTTCCTTCGAGGAGCCGGGTACCGTCGCAGTTTGTGTTGACAATCTTTCATGCGTGTGGATTCACGATGGCCTCGACAAACGGGTGACTGAGGGCCGGTTTAGCAAGTACGCGATCTGCGCCAGAGATCTGGGTCGTGGGGATATCCGCATCGCCGGGTTGTTGCACATGGATGGGCTCGTGCATGAAGGCGTTTGGAAGAGTGGCCAGTTTGAAAATGTGAGCCTCGTCGGCGAGGATCTTGGAGCTTACCCAGAGCGAGGTAACAAGCCCAGGCGCAGCGCGTACTACTGGGAACGTGAACAGGAGCGCGCACAGTCAGCCCGAACCGGACAACTTGACGGTGCGGACGCGGCAACTGCCACAAATGGCCCCTAGTTAGGTAAAGGGATTCGTGGAAAGTTTCAAGCAGACGGAAGGATTTGATGCCCTAGAAGTGAGGTTTAAGAACATCATCGCCATTCTCGTTGGAATGAAACAATACGACCCGACGGAAGTTATCGGAAGGCTGAGAGCCGCCAATTCGCAAAAGGGAGTAGCAATTATCGCCATAAGTCGAATCGGGAAAGGAGCTTGGGCCAGTCGCAGAGAGCTCTGGACTGTCATAGTGACGCCAACCGAAATGACAGATTGAAAAATTTTTTCCTCCTTTGTTGAACTGTTGAACGCCTTGACAGCCTCGCTCGGACGGTTATGTGGTTCGGGGGTTGCAATGGCAAACGAGGTTGATGCAGTGATGCCTGGGGGTTCGTTCGACTCGGTATTGGAGCAACTACAAAAGGGGCTCCAAGGGGAGAAACGAATAGTCGCAGGGAAATCGTATGCGCGTTGGGCTTCGTGTCTGCGTACGTTCCGAATGGCTGGTAGAGAAGCCTGGGTTTTGCGTAAGGAATGGAACGTCGTAGCGAGTCTAGCGAATTACTAGAAGCCTTCCAAATGCAACTCATTCCCGGCCGAAAAACCGCACAGCCATGGACGTTCTTTCGGGCGGATGTATTTCTTCGGGATCGCCTGTACGTAGGTCGTCGCCTGCAGTCTCCTCCTTGTCGCGCTCGGTGGTTATTTCCGCAGTTGCTTCCAGTGTTGGTGCCTCAATCCAATCCCGGAAGGGGCCCCCGGGACTTGCAGCTGTGGCGGGTGTGTGTGCGACAGTGCAACCTCTTGGGCATGTGGCGTCTCAAGTCGATCCCGTTCCTGCCCGTTCATCGATTCTCGGCGCGCTGGGCGGCATCGGGTGTTTCGGTTGATGATGCAGCCACCGCGGAATAAGCATGGAAGCATGAGCCTAAGGCGACGACATGCCGCCGGACGGCACCTGCTTCTTACCTAAGGCACTTTAGGCCGGCAAGAGACATGGAAAGGGAAGGGAAGGAAATAGCCATGACAAGAGTCACCCGCAAGACAGGAAGGAGAGAAGGAAGAAAGAGCCCAGACTACTAGGACAATGAAAAGGAAGGAATGACAACAGCAAGAGTAACCCTAGCAGCTGCCCTCGGAAGGGAAGATACCCAAGGTAAGGTACCTAAGGTACCTAGGGTAAGAACTTACTCCGTGTACGTATCCGTACTTGCCTGAGGTGAAGAACCTCTGGACTCTCGTGGCGCTGGAGGAAGGGAAGGACTTTTTGGGCCTTTTTGGCTTCATGGTCATCTGTCCCGTTATCGCACATGACACCATCAGCTTCCATCATCCATCATCCCGAATACCACCATCATTGAGCAATCAATTGACGCCACACGGCCCAATGGCTCAACAATCTCCCGCGTCTTATCAGTCGGCATCATCAAAGATGGTCGGTACAAGCAAACACCATTGCTTTTTGTTCGAGAGTTCCAATTTCAGATACGATCGGAATGTCAGACTCGGACACATGATTCAGAAGCACAAGCTCTAGCTCAACCACTGGCTTCCAGGCCCTCGACGACGCCATTGGCATTGACGCAGGAGACACTCACACCCTGACAGAGACAGAGACAACAATGATGCGTCATTTTTGAGGCTCTGTAGCCTCAGGCATGCACCACAAGACAATGGCAGCGAAGCGGAATGGCGAGCGCCAACGGTGCGTTTCGGCGTTTCTTCTCCCTCAAAGCTTGCGCTTGCACTAGCAAGAGCAGCTTGGCTGGGAGTCAAAATTTTCTCCCGGCGTCGGCCTCACCCCCAGTGATTGGACGGAGGGCGGTACCTCACAGGCTCATCCTGGACGCCTCACGGGTGAAGCCCAACCGTAAAAGGTACATGGCCTCCGAGACATGGCAGACCCATGCATCATTTCGAGCGACCTGCGTATCGCGTACCGACAGCTGGGATTGACAAACGCTAGATTTACGTTTGACGCTGAATCAATCTCGCAGATACTCCTTTTGTGGATCCCGACATTACGGTTACGGCGCTGCGGTCGCACCCATCTCGGCCATCTCAGACACTGGAACCTCGGACGTCGGCTCAATGGAGCGAACCTGCCTGCCATTGGCAGATGAATTGCCACGTCCGTCGGCCGTCGGTAGGGCCAAGCTGTCCTGCAACGAGAACACTACAGCGTCCCTCGGAGCGCTGCCAGTGCAAGTGCACGCCAGCCAGGTTTCTGGGTGCTGCCGGGATCTCACGTAACACTCGTCTACTTGCAGTCGGGGGTGTAGGGAAGGGGCGTGTGTGCAGTCAGACGGCAAGCGTCCCTGACAGGAAACTGGGCTGGCCAAGGCATGTGTGCGTGCTTCGATTGACTTCATCCCATCTTCGCTGATGGTTTGGCGGCGGCATCGACTCGAACGAAAAAACGAAAAGTTTGATAAGGAGATGGGAAGAACAGTGAAAGGAAAGGGAACGAGGAATGGTTGAGAAGTGAAGGGAGGGAGCACGACATGAAATGCAAATCGACGCAAGCGACAAAACGGAAGTAGGCCTTGGGCCAATTCGCTATCTCCCCTTCAAACCACGATCCGTCTCACCGCGTCCCTTTTTATCTCTGGGACCAACGTTCCAACTCGGTCATTGTGTCCACTTCTTTTCTGGTGTTGACGCCTTTTTTTCTTGAGCTATTTTGTCGGGTCCACCCACGTGTGAGTGCAAGGCTGCGGCTGATTGGACCCAGGCGCCTCAGAGTGGGGGCCTTCGACGGTATCGGGTGGGGGTCACCGCAAGCCATGACCGGGCTGATATCAAAGCTGACATTTGGCGGATTTTTCTCTCTCTCTTTTTTGCGCTGTGTGCCTGAGGGAATGTTTTTTTTTTTTTTGAGAAAATTTTCTCTCGCCATGGGACTCCCATCCAGGCTCAACCCGTGTGTTTCCGGCACCAACAGCCTCTTATCTAGAATGCTTCAGTGAGCTTGAGGTGGTCTCTCTCCGTTAAGCCAAGATGCTTTGGAACATGGACATTGCGTGCTCATGCCGTCTCAAAGACTGAGTTGACACACGCTGGACCTACATGTTGATTATCGATTAGCCGGCCGTAACGGACTCAACCTTGCGGATTCTCCTTAGCCTTGATACCGCAACCCACTTCTCATGATTCGTGTTCCTGGCCAAGGGGGCATATCCAGCAAGTACACACTCCGTACGCCTCAGGCACGGTCAAAGGGCCCCAAGATCAACCATCTCTCAGACTCTCCCTCTCTCTGTTCAGGGATCCCCTTCGCCGTCCAGCCTCCCGACAATGCCCGAGATCGGTGCGAGGGCGTGTGTGTTGGATCTCTTTGGTGGATGAAGGTCCACGATATGTCAACGACCGCACATGTCTAAACCTGATTGGGACGCCTCGTTCATTGCGAATCCGTCCCCAGCGCCGGGCCCACCGATGTCTAGTGAATACACAAACGGTACGGATACTCACCAGTTTCTGCCGTCTCCTGTTTGATCCGATCCCACACACATCCTGAAGAAGCCTCAGGCTCATCATCTTCAGCGTGGAACCTGAGGCCTGGCTGGCGAGCCATCTGGATCAACTTCCGCCGTCCCGTTGCCCGGGCCCCTGCCCTCCTCTCTCTACCGAGCTTGCCCGTCACCTGAGCGAGAGCTTTTCCCTTCCGAACCTGCTTTTGAGCTTTTTCTCTCTCCTCCTTCTTCCTTCCACTTTACCTACCTCCATCCCAATCTGTCCTTGTTTCCTATCTTCTCTTTCTCCCAGTCCATCACCGTCTATCCCACAATCTCCCCTCACATCAGTCACAATGGCCTCCACTCGTGTCCTCGCCTCCAGACTCGCCACTCAGATGGCCACCAAGGCCGCCCGCCCTGCGGTGCGCGTCTCTGCCATGCCCAAGCGCACCATCACTGGTAAGTCTTGAAAAATTAGTTCCCGTCGAGAGAACGGAGACGAAGGGAGGAAATGGGAAAGGCATCGAACAAGAAAAAAAGAATAAGACCGACGCCGACATCGAAGCCAATGAGCAATCACATCAATTGGCCTCGCGGCACCGATCCGATATCAACGATGAGTTCGATATCGTCGCCTTCCCACCTCCCCGTCGAGAAAACCAGAAAATAATGAGAGAACCACGATTGTTCTGACTTTCGATTTGCGAAATTTTCAGGCTTCTCCAGCCCCCTCCAGGCTGTCAAGCGCCAGCAGGCTACCACCATCAAGTCCTCCAAGGTCTTCACCCAGGTCCAGGCCAAGCGCGCCTACTCTTCTGAGATCGCCCAGGCCATGGTCGAGGTCTCCAAGAACTTGGGTATGGGTTCCGCCGCCATCGGTCTTACCGGTGCTGGTATCGGTATCGGTCTGGTCTTCGCCGCCCTCCTTAACGGTGTTGCCCGCAACCCTGCCCTCCGTGGCCAGCTCTTCTCCTACGCCATTCTTGGTTTCGCTTTCGTCGAGGCCATCGGTCTTTTCGACCTCATGGTTGCCCTCATGGCCAAGTTCGTGCGTCATCACCAATCCATTCTCACCTCATCGAGACTCATCAAAGCTAACAACCACGATAGACGTAAGCGATTTATTTCGCACTGGCGAGCTGGGGAGAGGCAAGAAGACAGTTTTCGGACGGAGCTGTGCTCTCTTGACCGCCATCTCCTCTTGGGACAGGTTCGCCTATGGTCACGCAATGGAGCATCATCCACTCCACACTGCGTGACGAGCTAGAGTTAATAGACGGGATAGACAGCATGGTGGGCATTTTAGACGATTAGAGGTCATAGACCGCACGGCTCTGCTGTGTTGTATAGATGGAAATTGGTCTGTGGCAGGGACGAGGTAACGCACTACTCTTACCAGCGAAAAAGTTTTGCATCTCCCCATCTTTTGCTTCAGCCAGCCTACCCCCGTGGCTCCTGGCCCTGATACAATTTTTTCTGTAAAAATACTACAAACCTCAAACTGATGATCACCGACTTTGATGACTTTTGTGAGGCAATTAATGAAATTCTGAGCATTGGGCATGAGATCGTGAGATGAGGTCAAAATTCTCCGTACAACCCGGCAACCAGCACAATCTCACCGCCCGAGTTCAGGCACTTCATCTCCACTCTGGGGAAGGGACCGGTTCTACCGAGTGCCAGAGCTTGAAGCTTCCCGAGATCTTTCGAGGTCGAATTGGCCAATGTGAGATGAGAATTGGGCGAGCTTCACTCGAGCTACCTAGGTAGACTTTTTTTTTTGCGGGTGTCTTCCCGGGCCTGGCGGCGGGAAGCCAGCATGCCATCCCCACGGGGTTGTTTGCACACGAGCAATCACGCACCATGCCATGCCCTACGCCTCTCTCTCCTCTCACTTATCAATCTGCTGGCTTGTTCACCACTAGGTTCGATTCAGTGACTTCACTTTCGGGAGTCTCTCTCCTTTAAATGCCGTGTGGATATCCTACCTGCTCATCTAATTCTTGGTCTTGAAGGCGCTGCAGTAGAAGACCACGATGATGATGATGCCATAGGCAAAGAAGAGGTACTACCGCTGGACGCACACCTCTTGATGTGCCAATTGAAGAGCCAGGCCGGTCGCCGCCATTTTTCCATCACTCTTCCTCTCACTCGAGCAGCTTGAACCATCAATCAAGACTACTATTCCCGTCGTAACTGTCATTGACGCCGCCAACGATAGTCTGGTCCCCCCCCCCCCCCTAAAAATCCCTGACCCAAGCCCGGAAGGACAACAAGCTCGGTTTCCGAGTGCTCCGCTCGACCTCGACGTATGTCCTTATCGTCGAAGCCTGGCTCCGAGTCGTGCGTCCGACAGCGCTGTATCCGCAGGCTGCCAGACAAGTAGACTGAGGAACACCGTCACGGAGACGCTCACACACCCCCCTCGGGTCTCTTACACACCTGTCCTTTCTAGACGACGAACGGCCGTTTGTTTTGGTGGTCTTTGAGTTCTTCCCCCACTCCCATCCCCTTCAAACCGCGACGAAAACTTTCGCCGTCGTAAGCTTGAGCGAGCTTGAGCTTTGAAGAAAAAGCTTCGGGAAAAGCTAGAAAAGTCCAGATGAAATCAGATAAGACACCTGATGGTCATTGACAACGGCGATGAGAATCTTGAAGTTCGCGATCGACCTTCTTCCATCCTCATCATGTGCTCCTCCAGATCTCGATCATATGTCCTGGGTGGCAAGGCACCCAACCTGACCTGTCGGCTCCCGAAGGACCATTGTCGTCTCCCTCTCACTTGAGAGACGAGACAAGCGCGAATATCCATCCGTACGCTGTGATTATCCATTTCCGTACTGATCCCCGTTTCATCGCAGCAGTACAAAAAGGAAAAGAAAAAAGTGTACTTAGTCTCTTGCTGCTCTTATCGCAGGTACCTCTTTCGTGCGCGTGTTCCCACCCGTGGCACCCCCTTCCCTTCCCCCTTCACCCCGAGCCACGATCATCTCCCCCCCCCCCCCCGTTTTCTTTGCCCCCTTTTGGGATCAGCTTTGCGGGTCCCAACGTAAAGGTTTCGACAGTCAGGCGGCGCTGCGGGATTGGACTTTCGACTTGCTAGAGGGGCTCCACAGAACAGTAATGGCATCATGGACTTCTGTCCCATCCAAGACCAATTCCCATTCTTGTCACCGTTTTCGTTCGTATCCACCGTATTTTGCGAGGTTAGCGGGCAATGTGGTCGCCTGGTCGGTAATGTCGTGATGTTGCGTTAATGTGGGCTTGCAGTCTTTGGCACCACCCGACGTTGATTTTGAGATGGGATGTCGTTGGAGAGATTAAGTAATCCTTCCAACCCTTTTTTTGGTATTTTTTTTTTCTATTTATGACGAACCCGGCTGTAGGGTAATGGCAGGTTTCCCCTCACGCGAACCTCGTTCGACTTTTTTGAGACCTGGGCTCATTTTTTGGGCTGTGTTCTCCAATTTGGAGAACCGAGGGATTGGCGAGTGCAACGGCGTCGCGAAGAGCCGAACTGCTGCAGGAGCAAGCGAGGGTGCAGGAAAAACAGGGCAGACACGGTACCTGATAATCTGACCCACTCTTTGCCTTTTATGGATTGGGAGGGAACGGACGTGGGGGGGAACGGAAACGACGTCTGTCCCTCGGCTGCTGAAATTCTGGGAGATGTTGATGGGATGTGGTTTGTTTTGATGATATGATTATGGTGATATGTTAGGGAATGGGAAGCAAATGGAAGTAGAAGGTCGTCTCCTAAGTGTGCAGTAAGATGTTGAAGATCTAGTAAGGGTATTCACGCAACAGCCACGATCAAACCTCGAGAGCTTCCTGGAGCAACGCGTGGGAATCTGGCGAAATGTTACACAGGACACGACTAATGCGCCATGAAGTCTGTTGATCCAACAGACCAACAACGGCAACGGTGCTATCTCACCACGTTGTTCCGTTGCCAGTTGCCAGTTGCCCACCAGGAAACCGAAGACTCGAGGTCATCGTATCGAAGGCCCCCGCCCCCCATGGGGAAGCAGGTCCCGCAAGTTCACTCAGCTGATGTGGATGCCCCTGCTAAGGGATCTAGCTTATCGGTCATTGAGCCACTCGTATGAGATGACTCGAGCTCGGGCTGTGAGCGGAGAGATTCGTCGGCTGTTGTCTGCATTGGCAATACCTTGTTGTAGCTGACCGACAGAGAGCAAACTCTTTCGGTCTGGATTGCTCATCCGCTTTCTTGAGTCATGGTGAGAGGACGTCAAGTGAATACCGAATAGAGACTTGTTACAATCTCTGTGCTCTTACCAGTGCCAAAGTCTTGACATACGGCCGTTCAATCATCCAGACTCAGCCTTGTCATTTCGACCAAGGGAAAGATGGTCCTGGGCTGTAAGCGATGAGGACGTGAACAGATCTAGGCGTCAGGCCATTCACGTCTATCGCTAAGGAGAAGCAAGGCTTCAATACGCTCCACGCATGTCTGATGGTATGCTTCTCTTTTGAACATTGTCTTCGCTGTTGCAGGCTCGGTTCGTGAAACATGGCATATAGAGGTAGTCAACGAATTTCCAAAAAAAAAAAATAGAGCCGAATGTGAGACGATGACTGTAAGGCTATCAATCCCCACATATGAGTTTGGTATGCATTCTGGAAGTAGAGTTTCGCAGTCGGCACTCTCAATGGAATACGTATGCCGGGAACAACTCTAGGGACATGTCTGAGCCATCAATTTCGTCTACTGGAGAGCAAGCTTGATAAGCTGCAAGCTCTGTGACATTCCTCAGTGATATGTATTGCACAACACACGTCGATGTCAAATATCTAGCACGTATATGACGGCCGCGCCATGTGACCTGTCTCGCACGTTTCAATCTAATCACCGACCTCGTAGACATACACCACGCCAGCCTTGAGTCCCAGTCACCCAGGCATGACAGCTAGATACAACACCGTCGAGAAGGGGCGAACCCCTCTCCCCCATGAATGGTGCACAAAATCAGTACTTTCCCTTAATCCATACAAAACCAGCCAACAGAAACCAAAGAACCTTCTCGCCATACTCTCATCCCTTAACTCCGTCTCCTCTACCTCCCAACCGTGGACCTGCGCCTTTTTCTTCTCCACCAGTCACAGCCGAAAGCACCGTCAACTCCTCATCTTGACCCACGCACGTTCTGGCCTCGTGGGATCCGGTGACGCGGCGACCGAGTGTCTTCGGCACGCGGGCGATGTCAATGCCGACGTCAAGGACGATGCGCGGTTGAGTTATATCTTTGGGTCGTGAGAGGACCCGTGAATTAGTTGGTGGCTTCACAGAGGCCAGAGGGCTGAGGTCATCGATGTAGGAAAAACCAATCGACGGTACACACGTCACAAGAGAGCAACATCAACGCAATAAGCCATCATTCTCGCAAAAGAACCACAACGTGAGAATTTCATTAATCTAGTGATGATACCTCGTCCTCCCCCCGCCCCCGATCCCCGTGGGATACCTTTTCCCATTCATCACAAACGGCACGGGCTTCCTGCTGGGCTGCACCGTCGTGATGGCGTCCCACATCTGGCGGAAGCTCGCGCGGCGCGCGGGGAGCATGCTGTACTGCAGGCTGTACAGGTTCTTGCGGTTGAGCGGCGGAACGAACTTGCCCGTCACCAGGCAGAGTACCACCGTGGGCGAGAGGTAGTGCTTGCGGATGCGGTTGCCCATCTGGAAGTACTGGTGGAACATGGCGCGGAAGGTGAGGGGGATGGACTGGTGAGGCGTGTTAGAAGCGAGTTCTCTATAAACATACGGTGGTGACAAGGGAGGAATGACATACCTTGAGGTAGATGACGGAGGTCGGTGGCTCGTTGGAAGTATTATTAAGTCTATAGTCAAGGGTATCTCGAAGTTCAAAACGGATGCCGCCTACTCCGTGTTAGTCAGGTTCTTCGCATTGTTGTGGAGTGATGTATACCTGGTAGTCGTCTCGGGTCTTTGACCCGCAACATCAGCGCAAAAAGGGGAAAGTGATTTAGACAAGAGAGAAGTGTATCAAAAACAGCCTTTAGCGAAATAATGACCATTCGTGCGACGGCGAAGTTCAAGTAGAACACCACCACGGTCGGGAGGAGGAAGAAGAGTAGGGTGAAGAGGATGGTGCCCACAAGAAGCTGGTCCAGGTCGTAGTCGCACGAGTCGATACGATTGCGGAGGACATTGTGCTTCTTGCCACGGAACAGGTGAAAGAGCGAGATGAGTATTGTGAGCTGCCAATGGTAGATCCGGGCAGATGCCAGATAAAATGAGTAAATGTGGACGGTCAAGCTGGAAAGCAGGTCGGAGAACATGGCAATGGGCATGCTGGCTCCGGCGAAGCTGGAAAAGCCAATGAACCAGATGATATGTGGTAATAACGGCTGAAGCGTCGCGATACAGTCTATTCAAGTCAGTAATCTTTCACTCCTGAATTCTGAATGCAGACGAACTCACTTGACCAGTAATCAATGACCCAGAGGAAAAGGTCTCCTAGGAAGAGAGCCAGCTCGCTATTCAGCTTCAAACCCGCAGGCCATCCCATTAGCCACGATATACTTCTTTGAAGCGCCTCGACCGTGTACACCCTCAGAAGCTCGCTGATTGCGTTGGCGGCCCACTCCGCGTTGTCAATGATGTAGGAGCCCAACGCAATACCAATGATGACATCGTTGGCGACAAGCCATAGGCTATTGTAGAACCGTATGTAGTCAGGGTGACTGGTCGTGACGCTCTCCCAGTCATTCTTGCGCTGTCGCAAAGTGGTGTACTGCATGGGCCAGTAGCAAAACTGCTGCAATCGGATCTCTACTTGTTGCGCCGTTGCCGATATGTCCTTCAAAGCTAGGTAGTCGTCCCTCAATCGGAACTCCAAAATTTGGAGGAGCAACTCAGCAACCGCCCTGTGACCCATGAGCATATACACAAACCCCCACTGTATCAGCGGAAGCAGGTAGAAGATCAAGAGGTCCCAGACGAAATTCCGCATTGATGTCGCATGCTCCACCACTCGCTCCGAGACGCTGAGAGATCGCTTGGGTCGGGTGCCGATCCGGGAGATGTTCTTCTGCAACAGCTGCTCCAGCTCCCACGACCAGTTGATTTGATTCACAATTTTTGGTAGTGCTCTCTCTTTTGGTGACGGAGACCGCTTGATGATGGTGTGTTGTTTAAGCTTTTCCACCAACTTTCTCTTTTCCTCCTTCACCTTCAGCTCCTGCCTCTCTTCTTCAGCCATGTGTTCTGTCGGCGGTAGGCCCGGTGCCTCCTTATTCCCAAGCGCGAGCGAGATGGGGTTCAGCGAGATGTACTGCATTCTGCTGGGGCGCGGTCGGTCGTAGAGTATGATCTGTATGCTGAGAGCCTTTGCGCACGCGATTCGGGGCGATTTTGCGCCGGCTGGTGTTGTCGCGATGAAGAGGGAGGGATCGAGTACGACGGCTTCGCTAGGGTTCGTCAGACCGAGGACGTGCATCGCATTGTGGCCGCATCGTTCGTAGATGCTATTGACGGGGTGAGGGGAGTTTCGAAAGAGGGTGCCGATTTTGAGGGCGAATTCGACATGGCCGGCCTGTAGATTGGTCAATTGGTGAAAGAGCTGGTGGTCTCGGGGGGTTGCTGACATCGACATCGTCAAGAATGGCTACGACGAAGACATCCAGGCTCGAGTTCCTCCATCCCACGACGACGCCAGGCAGGTCGGAGCGCTGGATATCCGTCGGCCAGAATATCCTCATTAAACCGTCATTTTCTGGCATGTCAGCCGAGGGCAGCGCGGGAGACGGCGCTCAGAAGGAGCCTCTCCGTCGCAACTGTTCCCTGGCCGAGACGCCAGCTCCGGTGGATCGGGGATGCTGCGGTCGAGTCCGTCATTAGCCAGATGCTTCTCCCAGTTGCGCAACCAGACATGTCTCAGCGAGGGGGTCGAAAGGGTTTGTCGTACCAGGTTCGCCTCCTTGGTGGCCAATCGTTCCACGGGGATGAATATGACGAGGTAGACGAAGGTCAAGAGCGCGAAACCTTTGGCGGCGCGTGTCTAGACATGGATGTTAGGGTTGAGAACGAGGCAGCGCATAGGTAGCTGGGCCCGAGGGAGGAAGGGAGGATCATCATACAATAACTCCGTAGTCCCAGGCGAAAATGGCAAGCTCATAGAGACGTGTGACCAGATCCCATCGAGCGGTGATGTAGCCAGCTACGAAGATCCCAAGGCTGAGAACCGAGAGGGGGTGCATAGAATCGTTATTCCCTCGGATAGTGCATGCCGAGGCTTGTCGCCAAGGAGAGGTACTGGTATGTCGGGGCGGAAAGGACCTAGATTGAGCGTCGGACTGCGGACTCGGCGGCGGTGATTGCGGGACAAGCGCGGGGGGGAAGAGGGGGGTGAAAGCTTGGAAAGGATCGTGGGGTCGCAAGCTTGATTCGACGTGTCTTGGAGAGCTTTCGGAGGAGGACGAGGGTCGGGCGAGGACTGGCTTGGTGCGATGATTCGAATACGTTGATGTAGCACCGCAGTTGGTGTTGTGTTGCTTTGCGCAGAGATGTTCTAGAGGGGAGGAGAAGAAGAAGAAGGGACGTGGAGTCGTGGAGGGATGTGGGCGTGGATACCTTACTCTCGAGTCTCTGCAGTCTGGACGGCCGATGGAGTAAAGGTACTCGACGCGGACCTTGGAAAAGGGCACAAGACAAGATGGGATTAGAAACAACTATGTAGAGAGCCAGGGGACAAGCTTCACGCGCGCGTAGAAGGATGCGGTAAATCTGGGAATTTGCCATGTAATTATTGGAGGGACAGAACGGGGGGTACAAGAGGTTTGGCAGCTTTGGGGTTAGCTGAGGTGGAGGACGTCAGGACATCAGGTTCTTCCTCTACCGGTAAGGTACACTGTACCTTGGGGAGTTAGTCCCTGTTGGTTTCTCTGCAGTGTGCCGTCCAGCCTCCAGCCTAGGGAAGGTACATACGTAGTACGCATATACAAGTCGCTCTGCCGCTAGCGAAATGTCTCGCTAGCGGGTCTCGCGTCCACTAAAGGAGACGGGAGATCTGGACATTTTCCAGGTTTGGCTGAATGCTGCACTTTGCAGGAGTTCGACAAGTAGGAGTTCCTGCTGACCAGTGACCCGCGGGACGCACTCAGAGGGTCTACGGGGATGTGGGCGGTCTGGAACCTGGAACGAGCCCCCACCCTGCTTGAGCTTGGCTTTTTCATAGCTGGGACTGGCCCGCCTCTGGTCCATGCTTCCATTTTTTGCTAGGTTTTGTCCATAGTGACCCGGCGCGATCTGGTGAAAGTAAATCTACCAACATCACGTGGGCTGGTGCATCACATCAAGGTACTTACCTAAAAGTACTCGGATAGTTCTATTCACGTCTTGTACATGTTCGTTAGACTTCATATGTCATATAGTTGTGCTCATATGTTGGGACAAAAGGCTTTCCGTGTCCATCATGCAACTTGGGGGCCTCCTTGGTCGTGCATCAAGTCGATGGAGACTTGGCGGTGATCTCAATATTGACACATGTCCAGCAACGAACCCACGTTACACCGTTTACCTGCACAGCCATCCAGGATTCCTTTGCCTTTGCTGTCTTGTTCGCATTGCGCATACTGTGGCACCCCACTACCTAACTTGCTCTATGAGCCTGTGAGGTACCTTAGGTATCACTTGTTGTCTGCATCCCGGGAGTCTCCCTCGGAGAAATTCAAGCTTACCTGAGAGTCTACTCAGTCTAGACGTTGGTGTCCACATCCGAGTCACCAGAGGAACAGGTAGCCGGCGCGCGGACGCGTCATGGAAAAGCCAGGGAAAAAATACATCATATTGGGAGATTGCCGTCTCTAAACACTGCCACATTGTGCCCGACAAATGCAACCTGGAAAAACGCCAAAGGAAACTAGCTAGCGAGATATCTTGTCCGGAATTGAAATGCCTCCTGCACAAGTGGTCAGATTCTCATCTCCACGAACACATTGCAGCAATGGGGAGGGTGCATGCTGATGCGGCACTCACATTTACGTCCCATGTATGTCGCATCGTTGTCTTTCTGGTCTTCCCGCGCCTCATCCAGCAGCTTGTCTATGCCGCGTTCCTTGAGAGCGACCTACCTGCCAGTCAGTCATTGTGCTCTTCCTCGCCGCTCACCCGAAAGCTTGGTTGTGAGAGCAGTCGTCGTCGTTGAGACATCACCTACCGTCAAACACTTTTGGTAGTTCTTGAATAGATCGGCACACTCATTGTTATCTGTTCCGGTGCCTCTGAGGTACTCTTCAGCCCGTCGTTAGAAGTCTCCTTCGCCATCCATGTCGTGTGCAGGGAACCAACTTACTCTCACTGTACCATTTCAAGAAGCATGTATCGTAGCGCCTATCCCAGCATGATTAGCAGCCCGTTCATTCGTCTCTTTACAAAGTCAACTACTTACTCCTTGACTTCATTGCATTCGGGGGCTAAAGACGCAGACATGATGGATGCTTCTCTGTTGACGGAACTCACGGAGGACTGAAAGGTGAAGTTGCAGGTTGCGGCTAGAAATGGAGATAAAATCATCACAGGGGCCTGAGTGCCTAAGGTCAGCGGTGTCATCCGCTGTAAGTGGAAGGGCTTGGCCAAGGCTCTTACCTTCCCTTTTACTGGCATCAACCTCACACTCACCAGCTTCATCCTCTGTGTAATCAATTGCAACTTCTCAATTTCAGACATTCTGAACACCAACACTGGTTTTGTGAAATTACTGTCAGCATCGACTGAAACCAGACTCTCCATCATCCCAATACGAATACATTTTTTATTCCTCGAAGTGTAAGGTATCCTGCGCCAAGCATCGAAGTCGCTTATCCAGGCGCTTATCGATTAGATAACGCCTCTAATCTTATCGGCCGGGGCCTTTCATGGTGGGCTCTTTTTTTTTGTTCAATCGTCAAACTTCGCAGCGAAACCGCGACAGCCTCCACCGAGAACCACACCCGTTGCGCCGATACGATGGCGTCCCCCCAGGACTTCAAGTCTCTCCAGGACAAGATCCAGGCCGCGCTCGTGGCCACTGTCAAGTCGGTCAACCGTGTCTCCGCCGAGGACCTGCCCTTCCAGCGCGCCGTCAACCCCAGCGTCGGCGACGATCTCGACGCCAAAACCACACGGATTCTCGAGCTCTCGACCACACTGCTCAAGTCAGCTGCAGAGGTCTGCGGACTAAATGCGCCCGATCTCGAAGATGCCGACGACGTGGATATGCGCTGGCGAAGCATCGTGGACGTTGTCGACTCAGTCTTGGAGAAAGCCGACACATCCATTGACGAGTACACCGGAGCTTTGAAGAGGAAGGATGCGCCTGCTACTGATGCCGTAAGCGCGCTCCATTATTGACACGGAATACCATGTATACTAATGTTACATAGGCTCCCCAATCGAAGAAGCCCAAGACGGCTGGAGGCGTTGTCCGCAGCGCCAACATCACTAAACCCCAACTCCACTTCGATCAGCCGGTCGACAACAACGCTCAATGGAAGCCCCTCATTACCGAAAAGCCTCATGCTACGGTGCCTTTGGAGAAAAGCCTGATAACTAGCGAAACAGAAGAGGGTTTTGTTCAGTATGACTACCAAACTTTCTTATCGTTGATATTTCTTAGAGTGCCTAGTTCCGACAAGGTCGCATACAAGGCTGCAGCCAACTCGCGCATGAGACCGGAGAAGTTACTATTTCTCAGTGATACTGACAGAAAGATCAGATACAAGCATCCGTACGAAGCCGAAATCCTCGAGGCGAAATACCCCGACCGAGTCTACGAACAAGCCGAGCCGATTCCATGGCAGCCCGTCGAAGGTACGGAAGCTATTTACGTCGACACATACGAAGGGGTCCTGAAGATGCTGAAGGACCTCAAGAAGGCCAAGGAAATTGCCGTCGACCTGGAACATCACGACTTCAGAACATACGTCGGACTCACCTCGTTGATGCAGATAAGCACAAGAGAACAGGACTGGATTGTAGACACTCTGAAGCCATGGAGACAGCAGCTCCAGGTACTCAACGAAGTCTTTGCCGACCCCAGTATAATCAAGGTTAGTACTGCTAAGCTCACTGACGATGCCTCGACAAAACTAACAATTCTAGGTCTTCCACGGCCCATTTATGGACATGGTTTGGCTGCAGCGCGATCTCGGTCTGTATGTCAACGGTCTGTTCGATACCGGAAGTGCATGCGAAGCGCTACACTACCCCCAAAAAAGCTTGGCATTTCTTCTCAAGAAGTTTGTCAACTTTGACGCCGACAAGAAGTACCAACTTGCCGACTGGAGAGTGCGGTAAGCAAACCCCTGAAGCGACCTCTCTGAGATACTAATACTGTGTAGCCCCCTTTCTGACGAGATGCTGTACTATGCCCGTTCTGATACCCACTTCCTGCTTTACATCTACGACAAGATGCGCAACGAGCTCGTGATGAAGTCGGACAGGGGCAACCCCAGCACCGACTACATCGAAATGACGCTCCAGAAATCCAAAACTCTCTCATTGAGTCGGTATGGTGGTGAGACGTTCGACCCCAAGTCTGGCAAGGGAAGCAAGGGCTGGTACAACACTCTTCTGAAGCACCCTATGCCCTTTTCGGGCCAGCAATTTGCCGTATATAGATCCATCTGGGAATGGAGAGACGAGGTGGCACGGAAAGAGGACGAAAGTACAGCCTTTGTTATGCCCAATGGTATCGTTGGCGATATCGCAAAACACATGCCACCCGACGCCAAGGCTCTACATGCACTGATACCGAACCACGCCTTCATCGCACGGAAAAATGTTACGGAGATATGGACGCGCTACCAGGAGGCACGTGAAAGGGGCATCAACGAACCGCGTCTGCTGGACTTTTTCAAGTCGGAGCTTCCAAGGGCCGCTGCTAAGCCTTTGGCAGTGGCTGCGAGCGAGGATACGGTCGAGGGAGCGCTGGAACCTGCCCTCCTGTCAGAGTCACAGCTGTTCGGCCGCATGGCTCTGAGCTCGGCCTGGGAACAGCCAGCCTCTGCAGCTAATGGCCTTGGAGAGTATGTCATGCTCCCGTGGCAGAAGTTTGTGCAAAATGCGAAAACGGTCGAGGTCGCTCCTGAGGAAGATGTTGCTATGGAGGGAGGCGTCGAGGAGGAAGCCAAGGCTGCTGCGGCCGCTCAGCCCGCTGAGCCTGAGGTGGAGGAGGAATTCACCCTCAAGGCTGGCACGAAACGGAAAGCCCCTGCAGCAGACGCTTCTGATGTTAGCGACAACGAGTCAGAATCCGGCGAGAGCTCCATCGACATTGTTTTGGAGCGGCCAGAGTCCGAGAGAAAGTCAAAGAAGCACGGCAAGACGGATGCTGGCGAGCGCGAGGCAAAGGTGGCTGCGAAGAGAGCAGACAAGGTGGCGCGCTATACGGAAGATTACGACAAGGCCGCGGCCGAGGTACAACGTTTGGAGAAGGAAGTTGCCAAGAAGAAGGCCGAGCCGGCTCAATTGGAGGAGGCGAAGGAGACGGCCACGGAGAAGCAGAGAAAACTCCAAGGATACCTGACGGCGATCAACAACCGCAAGTCCAAGACGGAGAAGAAGGCGGCAAAGAAGGCCGAGAAGGCTCAAAAGGAGGCGGAGAAGAAGGCGAAGAAGGAACAGAAGCGTGCCGCGAAGAAGGCCAAGAAGGAGGCGAAGAAAGCCGAGCAGCAGGAGGCTGACGGTGTGGACTCGAGCGACAGCGACGAGGAGGAGGAGACGTTTGACTACAGCAAGGCCACATCGGTGCTCCATGCGGCGAGGACAGGCAACCGCGGCAAGACGCACGTCAAGCCGACGTTTGATCCGTATGCGAAGACGGGCGATGAGCCGCTCAAGGGCGCGAGAAAGGCGCCACCTCCTAGAGGTGAAAGGAGCGCTACGTTTAGAAAATAGGATGGGTGAGGTTCGTGTTGGGTTCTGCTGTCAACGGGTTTGCAGCTTGATGGGAGTAGGATAATTGGAACGTGAGTGGATGAATCAGTAGCAATACTGTTCCGGGCGAGAGAAGCTCTCGGGCAGATGGTTCCGTCTAGAAATAGGAACAGGACTAGGACATTTTGCCAAAAGAGAGAAATGATGCCATCATTACATGCATGTCTTGGAGCAGTGGCAGAGCTTGTCAAATTGATTTGTGAGAGATGTTATTCCGTTCTACGTGTTGCACGAAAAGACGAGCGCCTTTCGTGAGGGTCTCTCAGACATTGTAAGCCGCATGGTAAACACGGAATTCCTTCCGCGGTTGTCACACCCTTCGTGCGGCTCCCCGCGTTTGAGTTGAGGGTGAGGGCGTCGAGGGGCTGGGGGCTTGTGGTTGTGTAGATGGATCATGGATATGTGGATGTCAAAAATCAAAGCCGCACCATCTCCACACCGCGCCCTTCCATCGAGTAGCAAACACACGGCATGTCATATTACATGTGCCGATCTTATCGCGTCCCGGGAGTGGGAAAATGCGGAGCGCGGAGAAAGTAGCATGGCACTAGCGAGGTTGGGAACTTTGGAAGGGAGCAGCAGAGTGTTATGTCCGGACGTGTGGCACCCCTGAGGCTCTTTTCTCCTTGCTTTTTTCTGATGTTTTGATAAGATAAGTAGCCAGCCGTACACAAATACTTATCTCGTCGCTCGTTTCTTGGAATTGAGGTTTGGGATCTGAGTTTACAGCTGTGGCTTGCATATATCAAGTTGAGACGAGATCTTTTAGACTTTTGAGACTAAACAAGACATCGACTGCGCGACTTCAACACGGGTTCCATCTGTAGGGCCTGTTTGTCGTTACACCACCGTTGGTATAAATACTCCCTTATCATCATCAATCATGCTCGCATCTTTATAGACTCACCGTCCTTCAAACACCTACTTCAAGCCTACAAAGAGCACAGCAGACAACACACCTTTACAAAAAGGGAACACAACCAACGAAGGAAGCAATGGCCGACCCCGCGACAGAAGTAAAGAAGCCCGCCCGCCCGCCTTCGGCTACGCACCACGTCATCGTCAAGCTCGAGACGATCCACGTGCCGCCTCCGGAGGTCAATGATGGTGACCTGGGACCGGGAGTGACGCACGAGGTTATTGGGTACGAGTATACCCGGCCCTCGGAGAGCGCCGTCGCGGCGGCGAGGGCGTGGCCTGCGAGCGTGCTGATTACGACGACTGTGCCTATTAATAAGGAGACGCTCGGGGAGGCGCCGTATTTGTGAGTTTTGGGTTGAATTTTCTTCAGTTTTGGGGGAGTTCGGTTTGGGTTGTGGTGGCTAAGGGTTGAGAGGGAGGAGGGGGTGGGGGTTGAGGTGAGGATGAGTTGAGGAGAGGATCTCAGGGGGAAAGTGGCTGTTGCTTCTAAGAGTAATGAGGTCAATGGCCGAGCAAGGTGGTCTGGCGCAGGATCGAGTGATTCCTACCTACCAGACCACGAGTTTGAGAGGGTATGGTGTACCGGGCAGGGCTGATGACTTTGGAAGTCTTCCCTCTAGGACTCCTGTAAGACAAGTGTCTACTTGAGCTGGGAAACGACCGCCGCCAATCTGCCTACATTACCGTGCTCAGAAACAAACTCGACATAGCTAGCTGATTTGAAGGCGAGTGATGGCTGACGACGTGGACGACGCAGAAAGTGTATCATCACAGAGACGGTGGGAACAGATCACATTGATCTAGAGGAGTGCAGGCGTCGCGGCGTGACCGTAATATACTCGCCCAACGCGACAGTCGAAGCCGTCTCCGAGCACGCCCTCGGCTTGGTGAGTCCTTCCGCTCTCTAATTTGAGATGAATCTTCGACATCTCAAGTCATGAGCCATCATCGACTAGGGGTGGAAAGAGAGAGAAAGCTGTTCACTGACCTTGGATGCCGGGGAACTCTAGTACTTCTCATCCCGCCGACGCTTCGTGACGCTCCACAACACGATGATGGACCACGCTGAGGGCCGCCCGAACCCCTGGCGCGCAAAGGGGAGCATGTCCTCCCTCCTCCTCGACAGTGAGGGCCGCCCGCCGCATACGTGCGGCAACGAGGTGGTGGGGATGATCGGCTACGGGCCCATAGGGCAGCGCGTCGCCAAGATGTGTCGCTCGCTGGGCATGAAGGTCCTCGTCGCTGCGAGGAAGAACGATGCCGCGCCTGCTGTGAACGGTAACGGGGTAACTCCCGCTGCCGCCGCTCAGCCGAATGGCAACGGAGACGTCCACCGCACGCCCTTCGCAGAGGTCATCTGTCGCGCAACGACACTCTTCCTCATCGTGCCCCTCACGGCAGAGACCAAAAACCTCGTCGGCGAGGCTGAGATGGCGACGATGAGGTCTGACGCCGTGATTATCAACGTCGGGCGGGGCGGGACCGTGAATGAGGCTGCGCTGGTGGTAGCGTTGCGGGAGGGTAGGATCTCGGGGGCGGCGACGGATGTTTACGAGGTTGAGCCGGCGGGGAGTGGGCAGGATAGTGTGTTACTGGGGGAGGAGGCCAAGGGCTTAAACTTGACGCTGACGCCGCATTTGGCGTGGTGCGCCGATCAGACGAGAGTGAATATCCGGAGGGTTGTCGGGGAGAATGTGAGGTTGTTTTTCGGGGGCGGGAAGGGTAGTAATGTTGTGCTTGATATGCGGTGAAAAACTTAGATTATTCGGATCGAGGGAATGGGATAGATTCATCTCATTGAAGCCGGATGGCTATTGTTGAAATAGTATGTCAACGTCTGAGTAGATGTCGATGAGATTGAGTACGAGCCAAAAGACTGATGAGGTTATTCTCAACAGAGATCACAAGCTTCCACCCCAGATTAGAACGCCCGCTCGCTGCAACACCCCACACTTTGCGTCTTTTAAATGCCCGAAGACGACCTCGCGTCTCATTGGTGCTTTAGACGGCTTCCAAGTGATGCCAAGACATCTGCTTGATCCCGGCGAGCCTCAAAGGTTAATCGAGCAATAATCGATCTCAATTATCAGCCTTCATGAGAATCCCGTATGCTGAAGCTCGGGCCAGCGACTGGATCGACGCGAATCACATAGAGAAGGCCCTCGTGCGAGGGAGAGCAATTCCGACGAAACCTACTCAGTAGAGATCAGGACGTTCAAAGAACGAGCAAGTTTGAAGTATTCATTAGATCAAAAGAAGATCGTCTCGAGGATTGACGCGCCGCGTAAGCCTCACTTCTATCTCATCTGTCGTACCAAGCTCCTGAAAATGTCGCGTATAGAGTGGCTAGCAACAACACGACTCACGCGAGTTCCGTCGCTCAAAATCATTCGAGCTTTGTTATGCTTGAAACATCTAAACTTCTCCCACTTGTGCCGTCCGCCGTGCCCACAGTGACACAGTTTTGGCGAGATTTGCTTCTTTTTTCGCGACTCGACCTAAGCAACAATTTCTCACAAACATGCAAGAGCCTGCAATTCACGGATTTTTAGAGAGCGTCGTCATCAAAAATAAGTTGGTACATTTGAACGATATTTTGTCTGAGCCACAGTGATGCGTTCATCCGTTCGGTGAATGAGTTAGTGAACGGCATCGTTCGCCGTGCGCTGGAAATGCAGGACGCGGGAGTCCCCACTGATCGCCTTTAATTTCCTCGACCCCTGGGCTCTGCTCTGGGCTGAGTTGAGCTCACCTGTCCGGATGAAACGTCAGCTGCTTCCGAGCGTCTTACCTCAAGTAGGGATATTGACTGAGTGAGCTCCTGTATCCAAATGTGAACGGCGGGCTGCAGCTCTGCCTATTTACTTGATGTGCTGGTCCGTCCGATGAACTCTCATGTTGAGTTCTGAGAGACATGAGATGTGGGTGAGTGGAGGTCTGTCATGTCATAAAAACAACAGAACACGATGTATTAGCTGGCCAAGGCAGTGCCGCGGGATCCACCGCGGGAAATGTCAGATTGTGTGGGGATTTGGGACGATGGGTAAGGGGTGTCAGCAGAAACTCTCACTCAGGAGAGCCAAGCCTTTCTTGTTCTCCCAGGTTGATGACTTGGCATCGAACAAGCTCTCGACCTCAGTCAGGCACCGTCGATTCTCAAGTGGCCTCTTGATTGAGGTGAACGGGTCTGTCTGATGGAAATAGAAACCCAAAAGGTCTAGAACCCGATTGCGAGCGGGAGACTGGGATGCTTCCCGCCCCGCCGGGACCGGGTGCCGCGCGCTCAGGGGCCGGCCGGCCTCCAGGCGCTCGTAATGCGTTCGTTTGTTCGAAACGCGGGCCCCAGAAGCAATTTACATTGGACATACGCTACCACCCGCAGAGAACACCAGACCAAGATGAAGGGAAACAAATCCCAGGGATGGGTCGACTTTGAGCAATCTATATATGAACTGGACGCGACTTTCCCTTTTTCCTCCGAAAGTCTCTTTTTGATCTTGCTCTCCATTCTCACACACCACCGTTCATTCGTGCTTCAATTCTTTGCAACTCCTTGGGCTGGACTCGGATAACTCTCGTTTACAACACAACCGGAAACACATCACACTCGTTCTTACCCATTTTCCGACCTCTAACCGCCTCAAGATGCAGCTCTCCGCCCTCTTCCTCCTCGCCCCCGCCCTCGTGGCCGCGACCCTTGACCCGGCCACCTCCAACACCAAGGGCAAGTGTCCCTCGAGCTACAACTGCAGCGCCACAAAGGTCTCAAAGGCCATCCAGGCCGCCGAGTGCTCCCACAACACCCGCACTAGCAAGACCCAGACGTTCGCTGTCTTCGAGACCGACCACCAGTACGACGGCAACAACGGGTACCCCTACGGTACCTGCTCCGCGTACACCTGCGAGTCCCCCACCGAGATGATCACCGACGACGACTGCTGGACTTTCTTCTGGAGGTGAGTTGCGAAAAGATGAACCAGTGATGTTCTTTTTGTTTTGCTAGTAATGGACTGATGGCTGACGGGTTTACGATGTATAGCGGCACCGGTGAAGAGGACGGTGTTGGCACCGGCTGCATCAAGGACCCCAACACGGGCGTCTGCGGCTGCGAGAACTCTGACGGCACCTTCATCTCCGGCGCCAGCGACTGCACGTAAAGAACGTCTGACTCATAGGAGACGTTCGTCGTGGTTGATGGGCGATGTGGTCATGCTTGACATGAGCCAACGGTGTGTGCTATTCATGTACATATACGATACAAAGACAAAACATTTTGTACAAAAGTGATCAAATATTCATTCACCACGTGGCCTAGATGGGGCGTGGTCATCATCATCCCGGCGCAGAGTTTGCTGCTCTATACCGCTTATTATATCGTTCTCCATCTTGGTTAAGACTCGGGTCTCGGTGTGGCCCGAGCCATCCTTTTCATCGAAATGAGGCTGAACCTAAATGACCTTTTGACTTTGATCTCGCATCTCGCAATTACCTAATGATGTAATCCGCTATTTTCCACTAGCAAATGTCAAAATGAGATCTGGAAGTGATTATTACGGAGTCAGGTTACTCGGTACTTACAAAAGCCGCATTCTAGGGCAAACAGAGGTGCCGGATGATATTCTCTCGGCCTGATCATATCTCGGCAACCCAGTGCGGGTCTAGCCCGACCTGCTGGGCTCTGCGACACGAATAACTAGGCAGCTTCTCCGTACATTTAGTACTTCTATGATGAGCTTGAATCGCGTTTTCACTCGATCATCGATGGATGTTGAGTGATTCAAACTAGAAACGCCTCAGTTGAGGCTGACATGCCATGAAGGTTCTGTGCAACGAGACATGCAATTTGAAGTGTCTTGAGACAGCAATGAACTCACCCGCGCCTTGAAGAGGAAGGAAATTTCAAGGAGAGAAGATGCCGATCAATGCTGGGACATGATGACGCCCAAGAAAGATGGTCGGGAGGGGGACGCGGCATGCTCTCACTGCTCACGAGTATTGTGCGAGAAGTTGGATCCACCAACCTCAGTAGCGCAGATAGACGCATCGGAACACTCCCCAGAGTTTTTTCTCTAATTGATCATCTCGTTATGACCACAACGCTTTATCCTGACCTGGTAAACGGTTTGTGAGAGGTGAGAAATAAAACTGCCTCTCAGTCCCGGTGATTCGCTATCTAGCTCCTGCGTCACTGGACCGAACGCTTCGCGGAGCCTCCCGAAGTTCAATTAGTAACCAGGAGCTGAAGTACCCTGCAAGTTTGTGCCACAAGACATTGAGTTAGCGGTGATCTGACGGGACTGGGACATCACATTATGTCAGTGTCAGTTGGCCTCTCCAGTAGCTGGCTCGTCCAAGGATAACGGCAGCTCGTGCGGATAGCCGCGGACCCGGGCTGCGTTCCGAAAGATTACTGTACCCGCCACCATTCCTTTGTAGGCACGATGAACCAGTGCTCTGGGTTTAACGTGCTCTGATACGTGAGGCTCATTCCTATTTTGGGATGCACCTCCGTAAAAGTGGGAACAAAACGCATGCAGTTGGTCGTCTTGCACCAACAATGTTTGCTTCCACGCGCATGAGCGGAAGCCAAGAAGAGGGGTAATTGTGGAAAGATCTTGTCTCTCAATAAGAGAGAGAGCGTCCAACCGAATGTTCGGGAGGAACCTTCGAAAACGAAGTTTCAAGTTCTGCCACGACCAAACTACCTATTACCGCACTGGGTTAACAACAGGCGTCACCTGGTTCGAGTCCACCCTGTTAAGGTGCCTCTCAAACTCTTCCAAGTACAGAAAGAAGACGTTGAAGACACACGATGTGTGAGGATAACACTGGAAACAACGCGGCTGCTGATGCCAACGCTCAGCCCGACCATGAGGTTGTTTTGCTCGCCGAGGATGAACAGGTGAGGCCAATGCAGCTCGTCCACAAAGCATTGCGCGAAAATACTAAGACTATCAAACAGAGCGATACGTCCTCAGAAATTGGAAGCGTAGGCTGAGGGACCAACTTCCAGTAATATACCGCCTTACTAAGGAACCATCAGAGTGTAGCTTCTTCGAGTGCAAGTGTGAGCAGTTCGATTCTAGACTACCGTTTGGAAAACGGTAGAACCTACCACAAGTATAAAGACGGGAGTAAGTTCTAACAAGGAAAGGGAATGAGATGATCATGATCTCTTTGATGCTGATCTCAAAAACATCAAATAGAATACTGGTTTCCAAATGACGAGAGAGAAAACGATCGTCTCGGTATGACATGAAAACTCCAAGGAACACTTTCCAAATCAGCTCTTAACCTATTTCACATAGATCTGCAGCACAACCTATTCATCCTGACCTTTGATGACAGACTCGCAACTGCCCCTCCAAACGAACCTGATGCAAAGGTTGGAAAGGTGTTGGACGTTGGCACAGGTAGTGGCATATGGGCCATTGACTTTGGCGAAGAGCATCCAGATGCTGAGGTTTGATACCCAATTGCACGTAACACAACTCACACACCTTCTAATAGTGAATGTAGGTGCGAGGCATTGATCTTTCCGCTATTCAGCCGGAATTGTATGTGCTCATTCTCGTCCCATTTGGCTTCCGATACAGTATGCTGACGATCAAATACAGCGTGCCACCCAACGTCAAGTTTGAGATCGACGACATTGAACAACCCTGGACGTTTTCTCACTCATTCGACTACATTCATAGTCGCATGATGAACTCATCCCTCAAGGACTGGAACGCATATATCAAAACTTGCTATGAGTCAGTCACACCTCACACCTTCAAAGATATTTATTTTTGACATGTTGAAGTAATCTGGAGCCTGGAGGATACCTCGAATTGAACGAAATCGATGTCATCCCCACATCTGATGACGGGACCCTGAAGCCAGAGTCTGCAATCTCCAGGTCTGCCAAGTTACTTCATGACGCAGGCGAAATCATCGGAAGGCCCTTCCTCGAGATGAGCTCTCTCAAGGATGTGCTAATCAATACCGGGTTCGAGGACGTCCACAGGCAACTGTACAAGTGGCCCACGAACTCCTGGCCCAAGCACGAGAGGTACAAGGAGTTGGGAATCTGGAACCACGAGAATCTTGTTGCTGGTTGGGAAGGCTTCTGCATGGCCCCTTTCACAAGGGTTCACGGTTGGAGCAAGGAGGAAGTCATTGTTTTCATGGCTGAGATTCGAAAAGAGTTCCAAGATCGGTCGATCCACGCGTACTTCAAAATGTAAGTTGGCTCCTGGATGAGGCTCTTGCATTCAACGCTGACATTTCCAGCTGGTCCATCTATGGAAGAAAGCCTCTGCAATCCGACACGACAGAGGCCGCGTGATTGCTGTTCAAGATTCTATCTGTCGCTGGCAATCTACAGGGCGACCCTTGATAGAAGAATGTTCATCTGCTCAAGTTCAAGTTAGGTTTCAGTTGACGATAGAATACTACTCGGGATTCTGATTACGTTCGAGCATTACACTCAAGTGATGTTGCTACGAAGATAGACAAGTTGGAAGAGTCTTCTGTGCACAAGAAGTCTGTCGAAATAATCCAGTTTTCTTCAAGTTTGGGCATAATTAATGACGTACTATAGTAATACAACACAAATCTGAGCTCTCGTCTGTCTCCATATTGATATACTCTCAAAGCTTTTCAATGTACCATACGAGCCACGCCAAACCAAAGTTTGTGACGGGAAGCCAATAGGGCATGTCGGCTCGCATCTGGCTCCAGTATCCAGAAGATGTCAAAAAGCATCCCAGGAAGAGGGCGAAAGCCCCCCCTCGGGTTTGTGGCAGCGCGAGTAGGAAGCCTTCCGTGACCATCAGCGCTCCGATGTATTGCATATGAAGCTTGATCTTGCGTTGATCAGTGAAAGGGTAGAGTGGGTGGAGGAACGGCGCAGTCTTCTGAGACTTTCGGTAGATTCTCTCGTGAAGCGTCTTGAAAGGCCAAGGGCCGAGTCTAGGAATACCGCCGACGAAGTATTCGAACGCGAGAATAATGCGCGGGATGGCGAGCAGAATGGAGGCCATGATAAAGGATGTTGTGGTGCTAAGGCGGAAACTGAAGCCTTTCCTCAGGGAATATGTAAAGTGGGCTCTTGAATCAGGCCATGCGACTAGTAATCAGGCAACAATATCTAAGAGGTAGAGTGAATATGGTTATTCCGAGGCGTCCGGGGAAATGGTTGTGTTCAAGAATCGTTCAACGGTGATGATGTAATGGTGGCGCTCACCACGCAAGTCCTGAGACATAACCGCTGCACGTGAGCAGAATAGCCCAGATCCAAGATCATGAACACCAACAACAGACCCGAGGATTTCGTGCATAGTATAAAGTTGCAATGTGTCTCAGATGACTGGAAATTGGTTTTTGACGATGTTAGGCCTTGATCATTTGAATATTTGGAGATTACTTCTGCACTTTCGCGATCTCCGCCATTGTTTCTGCAGCTCCCCGGGCTAGTATCGCAGAGTCTTGTCCTCCAAGGAGAAAGCGGACGCCTAGTTCATTAATCGCCCAGTCATGCAGCTCATGGTTGTTGTAGATACCAGCCAAGCCCATGATCTTGCCGTGTTTTTTGCATGCCCGGCTTACGATCTCCATAGCTTCCCGAAAAACTGGACTCTTAAATTGGCTCGGCGCGCCTAACTCGATAGCGAGGTCATTCGACCCGACGAGGAGAACGTCGGCGCCTTCAACAGAAGCGATCTCGTCGATGTTCTCAATACTCTCCTTCGTCTCGATCATCAGGAATACAGTTGAGCCGTTGGCGTTCGTCTCTGAGATTATGGTGCTCTGTGGCACAGCCTTTAATGAGAATACGGGCAGTTGGCCAGTGATGGACCTCTTTCCTTGCGGCGGATATTTGCAGATCGAGACAGCAGCCATGGCATCAACTGCAAGGACTTTGTAAGTTCCTCTTGCCAACCGAATGGACGCGGAAATCCAGGTAGGAATCTCTTGTGGTACTTACCGCGGCCGTGAATGTGAGGAAATACAACTCCCATGGCTCCTCCATCGAGAACCTTTTGAACAAAGCCATTGCCGCACTGATAAGGTACTCTGACAAAGGGCGTCATACCCAACTGAAGACCAACGATACAGTGCTGACTGGCATCATGAATGGATAATGTCGAATGTTCGAGATCAATGAAAAGAGCATCAAACCCTCCGTTTGCCGCCAAATGGACAATTTGTGTATTTGCCACAAGGCGAATGCCCATTGCCTATATCGTTATGTCAGTAAGAGGAGTAATACTATGGCTCTCTTCTGAAGCATACCGTGCATAGCTTTCCCGACGCGCTTAGGCGAGTCAAGCTGTTGGAAAGGAGAGAGGCCATTTTAGATGAACGAAAAGATTACTGAATTGTCAACGTGCAGTACTTCATCATGAGGTATCATGAAGATATTATTTAGTATTCAGTACTTCCTTGGGCCGAGGATAGTGTCAGCTTACTTGTTGATGGTTCGGCTCCTCTTCCCGCCAATCTGAGCGATTCGGCCAGCCTTCCCGATAGCGTGCAAGTGTCAAGTGGAGACTCGGTAGCCCGCACCGCCGCCAACTCGGCGATGGATGCTAGTTAGCCGGGGAATTTGAGTCGCCATTTGCTCGCTAATATTTGAGTGGTCAATTCAAAAAATTACGAGAAAGCTCGAAGGCTTACTTGCAAAAGCCTTCAGCGTTTCTTCATTCCAGCTTTGGCATTCCAGCTTTGCCACGATGTTTGGACACGTACAGCCCGGTCCTCCGGACCCCATGTTCACCCTCAAAAGAGATGCAGACAACGACACAAGCCCAGAAAAGGTCGACTTGGGTGTTGGCATCTATCGTAACGAAGAGGGTAGTTACCAAGAGCTGGAGGTTGTCAAAAAGGTATCGTCAAAAGTTTCTGCCCCAGTACCAGAGACAACAAAGGGTAAGCTTCGATTGGAGTCAGAACTGATCAAAATGTAGGCCAAATTAGAACTAGATGAGCTGGGCCTAGGGCATGATGTAGGAGTCTTAAACCCAACGTTTTGGAAAATAGTAGGCTGAGATCTTTGTCTAGTATGAGTTGACGATAGGAAATGCGGATTTTCTCCGATTGGCCGCAGAAGTCATCTTTGGCGCGCACAGCGATGCCCTTCAAACTGGCAGAGTATGTGGTTGGCTTCGTAGTCTTCTGAGATCAAATGATATCCGAATAGATTCAGATCACTTCCCAGGTCAAATACACTAACTTCAATATCCAGATTTCTTCAGTTCAGACCATCTCCGGGACAGGGGCCAACTCACTGGGAGCTCTCTTCATTTCAAAACTTATGGAACCGGAACCCAGAGTCTACATCGGAGTTCCCACATGGGGAAACCACATCCCGATTTTCCAAGATACGGGTCTGAAAACCACCACTTACCCCTATCTCGATGCGTCAAAACATGCTGTCAACTTTACCGCTCTCCTCGATACTGTACGATCGGCTGCGCGAGGCAGCATTTTCGTATTGCAAGGTTGCTGCCATAATCCTACCGGAGTCGATCTAAGCCTAAAACAATGGGAGGAGTTAGCTTGTGAGATAAAATATTACGGGCACTTGCCGTTCTTTGATATAGCGTATCAGGGCCTGGGTGACGGGCTTGACGAAGATGCCGCAGGTGTACGCGCTTTCGTAGATGCGGGGATTGAGATGATGGTTTGCCAGTCATTCTCAAAGAACTTTGCATTGTATGGGGAGCGATGTGGCGCCCTTCATTTTGTTGGCAACTCGCAGGAGGTAGCTGCAAATGTTCAAGATAGGCTTCGAAGTTTGATCAGGCACACGTACTCATCAGCTCCGGCCTACGGTAGCCGTCTTGTCAAGATCGTACTCGACGATGCCGACTTGCGAAAAGAGTGGTAAGTCGGTGTTCGAGAAGTCCCTGTTTGTCATCCGCTAACAACATGCTTTAGGACTTCAGAGACCGATGGCATGAGGAAACGTCTGAAGAGAAATCGCCAAGCTCTGTATGATGAGCTTGCGATGCGTCTCAAGGTACTTTGTTCCGAAAGCAGACATACGTGCCAGGATTGACTTCAAGTAGACACCCGGAAATTGGTCATATCTGGTGAAGGAAAAGGGGCTGTTCTCGTCAGTAGTGCTGTGTTCTTAACGGTGGATGGTTACATCGCTAATCTTGTGTATAGGTGCCTGGCGCTGTCACCATCTCAGTGCAGGGAGCTAGTTGAGGCGTATCATGTTCATCTCCCAGGGTCCGGAAGGATCAATCTTGCTGGCTTGAGCGAGGAGAATGTGAAGCGCGCAGCACAGGCCATTGACAAGGTCACTAGGACAAATGTGAACGGGAAGCTCTGAGTCTGCCAAAGGTTCGAAGTGGTTCTAAAGAATAGGTGACTCTAGCACTTGATGCACGATTCTGTACTTCGTCTTTATCAATATAAATGACAAGCACGACGTACAAGTACAATAGGTAGATAAACTAGGAAGTTTAGGGAAGCTCAACCTCGATCAGACTCTCAACACCTTTGCCACCACCCCAAATTTTGACAATCTTCAGTCCTGCGATGATCTCCAACAAGTGGTACCAGTCACCCTCAGTACGCTCCTTTGAGCAAAAAAGCGTTAGCATGACCATGTCAAGAGCCGACGTCTCCCACCATGCTCCTGTTGAGGGAATGACATTCTCATTGACCAACAACTTGCTGTACCCAGGCTTCATAGCAGCCTTGATCTGCTTCAGGATAGTCTCACAGACGTTATCCGGCCAGTCATGCAGACATGAGTGCATGTAGTGGGCGCGAGCTCCCTTCACGAGCTGCTCTATCAGAAAGTCATGGCCCATTGGTGTGATTGCTGGCGTGAGCTCTTGGATCTGGCCAAGAACGACTGGAAGATCCTGCAGGATCAGCTTGCCTGGCGCCTCAGGGAAGTACGAGTGGAACTCAGCCAAGTCGTGACCGATGCTGCCGCCAATGTCCACCAAGAAGGGTGCGTCGGTGTCCGTGCTAGCGCCCTCGATAAGCCTCTCCTTGACGGGGAAAAAGCCGGGGGCCATCCAAGGATTACGACCCTGGCGGTAGCCGGACATGTGGTGGTTGAAGTGAGTACCGTCTTTGTAGATTGCATGTTAGTGCCCATCTGTCACCAAAGTATGTTGGTAATTGTACTTACATCCAAGGTCCTGCTGCCACGCAAACATATCCTTGTCAGTGTTGTATGCGTACATCATAGGTGTGTCCTTGGCATCAGTGGGATTCTTGAAGCCCCTCTTGCGAGAGTACTCGTGGAATCTCAAGGGCCCAGCGCCAGTGCAAGATGTCCTTGGATTTCCAAGAAGTTAGCAAAGGCATTGATAAAATGCAATAGAGCAACTAAGTATGCGAGGGCAAGGAGTCCAACAGGGAGCTAAATAGTTCGACTTACATCGCGATATACCCATCTCCAATCATGGGGAGGCTCAATGACTTTGAGAAGTTGGTAGGTTGGTACTCATCAAGGCTTGTCTCCTTGATATAGCCCATGGCACCAAGATGGCGCATGAGGCGGCCTGTAGAAATTATGAGCCATGTGAGTAGTACAAGAAGGGAGCTCACTAACTGAGCAGGGCCGGGTCGACGCCGAGAGCTTCAGCAAGCTCCTTCACCGTCTGTGGCCTGTCGCCGTTCTTGGCCATGAGCTTCCACAGACCCGTATCTACGCCAAAGTTGATACCAGAAATTGCACCGGTCTTTGACGAAAGTTAGTCATATCAAGTAACATGTATATCAGCTGACCACCTGAGGCTTACCTGTGCCCAGCAGTGCTTGATCATGGTCTCTCTTGGAGCCTCGAGGGCTTGTACTATAGACCGAGCCTTAAGGAGCAGCTCTTGACGCGCATGGTGGTCATCAGCAGACAAAGAGGGTCGAATAGGAGATTGCTCCGTCTCCAGCTAACGACACGACACCTGATCACCCCGAGCACTCCAATACCTGGTAAGAATCCCAGGTTGCGCAAGATCTGCACGTCTTCGGCCAATTTCTTGGTCGACGCTGGAGAATCGCTCTGCAAGGCATTATGCCGCAGTCTGCTTTGCATTTATTCAACAGAGTCTTGGTTGCGCCTAGATCAGCTCTTGTCTCCTGTGTCACATTTTCCGTGATCGATATATTCCCATTCGTTGCCTACTACAAATCCAATATGTCGGCTTCGCCAGCGGAGGGATCAGATGAGTGGAAGGCTCAGGACAAAGGGCCAATCATCGTTATCGTCTGCTGGATTGTCACGGCCATCAGCACTTGCTTCGTCTTCGGTCGTGTCTACGTGAGGGGGAAGATAATGAAGAAGTTCCAGAGCGATGATTGGTTCATCATCTTAGGATTGGTACGTGTCTATGGTTGTCTGTGAAGTTCCTGTCACGAATTACACTCTCTTCGCTTGCCTCTTTCGCGTCAGCAACTCAGTCTAATTTAAGAATTTTCCCAGTTCTGCGGTTACATCTCAACGGCTTTGTCTACGATCGCAGTCACCTACGGAAACGGAAGGCACATGTCCCTATTATCGACCGAGCAGCAGCAGGGAGCCATTCTCTGGACTACGGCAGCTTTCTGCCCTGGTATCATGTCCTTCGGTCTCCCCAAACTAGCTGTTGTCTCCTTGTTGGTTCGACTGATGAACCCTGACAGATATCATAAGTGGTTTTTATGGTGGCTGGGGATTTGGTGCCAGTTGACGCTGTTCGTGACGGCTGGTCTCCTACTTGGACGTTGCATGCCGGCCAGGTCCTTGTGGGACTTTTCTGTCAAGGGCACCTGCTTTGATGTCAATATTCTGGTGGCCTATTGCATTTATGCGGGATGTGAGGCAACCCTTTTCCATAAGTACTTAGAAAGGTTCTTGAGTTTTGCTAATACTGTTCTACGACACAGCTTTTTCGGCCTTTGTCGATGTATACCTCGCTGTTTACCCGGCAATTGTACTATTCCGCCTTCAGATGGCCACAAAAAAGAAAATTGCGCTTTCTTGTGCGCTAGGCATCGGGTCAATGTAAGACTCTTCTTTCTTTCGGCCAGTTTGCAGCTTCAACACATGATTCATACAACTAATAACTTGAAGATCTGGTATCGTTGCTATTTACAAGACGACTCGCATCCCGTCCCTTGCGAGCAAGGATTTCTCATGTGGGGCCCCGCATTTCCTGTTGAATAAGTTGATAGATCTTACTGATCTTTTCCGCATAGACGATACCTCTGATCTGGTGATCTGGACAGTGTAAGTCTAGCCCTTTCTTTACAACGTACAATCCGCTTCAGGAGGCTCACAGGAAGAAACACCTTACTGAATTTGGATTCCGGTAGTGTCGAGGGCAGCACCATCATTATCGCAAGCTCAATACCTGTCATGCAGCCGCTTCTTGAGCTCATTCTTCGACGCAACCCCTTCAGCTCGGCTAAGGGATCCAAACAAACGCCGCAATACTATGAGGACTACGGCTCTCAGAGCAAGTCAAAATCTCGGGGAGGAGGAGGTATTGAGCTGGGACAGCGCAAGCCAAAAATCAAACCCAAAGATGAACTTGGTCTCACCATTGTCGAGGGCGACAGCCAGGAGAATATCCTTACGCCAGCAACCGACTCAAACCAGGGCATATCAGCTTCTTTAAATGCCCCAACTCTCACATCCAGACAAAGTGACTCAAGTCAGCGTCCCTCTGACGGAAAGATTATTCGGACCGACTTCGTGAGCGTTACTTGCGAGGAACAAGGTCCGGTTCGCGATATATCGGCTTCGAGCCGATGGAGAGCCGTCTAGAAGACCAATTGGTCATGGCAAAATTGAACGATAGATCCTTTTTGGGCGCAAGCTGGAGCCCTTGGTTGAACTTATGAACTAAGACTTTGTGGTAAATACTGCGGTAGGATGGCAGGAAGAGCAAGAATTATAATCTCATCGTCTTACCTAACCAAATAGTTTAGCATTTCGTGATGTTAATAAATGACTACTCCATCTTTCCTGCGAAGCTTTGGAAAAGTGACGTCGTGACTTCTGCTCATTAAATCCGACAGCGCAGGGACAAATTCGAGCAGACATGAAACTTGTCAGAGCGATATGTGAACAGGCCCGGTCCGCTATGGTTGTTTTACAACAGGTTTGGAACTTTTCAAGCCACTCCAATGATCTTTCCATTTCTTCTATGACCAGAGCACGTCATCTTATGTCTTCTTTCTTGAACAGTGGTTGTTTCCCAGCCAGTCAGTTTCGACCGGCGAAGATGCGCCACACCTCGCCGAGGTCGCCGAGGCTAGGTACCGTTTTGGAACAGGAGTCTGAAACCCCCCAGGGTTGCTCTGCGCCGGAAGAAAGAGAGACACATCATATTATCTAGGTATAGTAAAGGATCGATGGCTAGATGAGCAACTGTTACCGGGTGCCGGAAGGGCGTGGGGGAAGGGCCAATCGTAAGTTCGAATTGTCGGATCGCGGCAGGCCGTTTTCGTCAAAGGCGAGCACAAAGTGGTGCGGGCAAACCGAGCTTACGTTAGATGATTCGTACAGAAACGTTTCCTGTGTCTTCGATTTCCGCCACCCTTACTCGCCTTGTCTCACCCATGCCCGGATTCGATGGTTTCGGAAACGCGGCGAAGTGGGGCCGTCCCGGCGGAGGCCTCGAGTGAACATGCGGCCCGGACACCGGGGTCCCTTCAGAAGCTGCTTGTTCACTAGGTACCGATATTTGATACATGGAAAATTATAGATGAATATTAGAGTCAGTCAACATCAGCTCTCAAAATCCAACCTCGGGATGGATGAAGGTGATTTGACTTCTGACCTATATGTCTCTGGCGAGCCGCGAGGATCATTGAGCAAGGTATCTACCTAAGTAGATTCATCTCATCATGCTCAATATTTCCACGCGTTTCTCTCCGTGAAGTCTCCAATTCACTCGACGGAAATGTTCAAAATACATCTAGAAGGGTCATTGTTGGAATTCAAATCGATCAGCGTGTCGTCAAAGCGAAAGAATCCGTCTAGAATACTGTGTTGACTGTATAATGGCGTGCTCTTGAAACGTACCTTTAGGTCTCTTGCCCAATGATTGCTATCTGATGGGGGAAGATCATACGTCCGTACTCATCAAAACATCGGAAAGTGCTGGTCTAGAACGGCTACGCAGCGAGTGGGCCACTCTTCGGGTTCTCCCAGAAGCTAGTTCCCGTTTCGAAAGGCCGAAGCCTGTAAACAACCTGATTATTCCACGTGCTGCCCCGGGTCTAGTTCACCACATTGGTCTCGGCGCGGCTAGTCTACATAGATTAGGACTGCAGCCAAATGGTAGCGTGAGTGATCAGGATAGAGCGGCTCAGTCTACGTAACCATGTGCTGCGATGTGGCGCGGATCGCACAGACTGGTTCCATGGGCACCGTTCCGGCCCGTCAAATCAGCTGCACGGGTACGGACGAAACGGAGTGCGCGAAACGTATGCGCGGAGTTTGGCTGTTTTGAACCCTTTACTACCTGTAGATAGGCTCATAGTGGTACCAAACTAAGGCTCGTAAGGGCTCAACGCATCTTGTGTTTTATTTGAAGAATTCCGCGGGCCGTTGTCCTTTCGGCTTCCCGAACTCGATCCCGATCGAGGAAGGGCCGCAAATGAGAGGCATCCGATGATATACTTTACCGGCGCTCTTTGAATCTAAGAATGAACTCGGCGAGCGGGGTGTCAGATCTTGAAGCAGGCGGTGACACGGGTGATCTTTTGTATCCAAGACAATACTCCACGTTGCAGGGGAAACAGCATGTCAGCCGACCAAGACACTCATCTCGGACCCCTGATGCAATGAATATGAAGAACCCGCTTAAATGGTCCACTTCGATTCAATTAATGTTCTCTCTATAATGGTTGGCATCGGCATTATCTTCACAATGAGTTCATGCAAGCCATGTCCACATCGTTATGCATCCCTTTGGAGGACGCCTGCCTTGCTGTATTTGTGTTCTTGCAGCGCTTTCACGCATGTGCAAGAGGATCTAGGGTCGGCCGATGGGCGCGACTTTCAAGGATAAAGTTAGAGCACTTCCGAATCCGGACGATGAATTCGGTATCGTACGTATATTTAGTTCGAAATCGGATAACGGAACCAGTGCTAGTATGATTCTCATCTCACGCTAGGAGTCAGTCTGTCTCAACTAGCCCACGCAGGCATTCAGCTCTTTTTCCATCCTCTTTAATAATTCCAGACGCCCACTTTCTTGACGGGGCTCAATAACGTGTGTGAAGATGTGACGATGGATAATGGCTCACTTTCCGACCCCAAAGGCGGTAACAATCATTGTATGTCAGATCTCAGATTCTGAACGTCGGGACCTGGGAAATCGGAACATGATCGCTGACCTTTCTGGCACGAACTTAGACGACGGGATGGGTCACCATCTTGACCGCCGGCGCAGTACTAGCTGCTTCTCTTCATCTCCGAATCAACATCCAGGGGAGGAAATTACAAATTAGCGATTACTTCCTATGCCTAGCATGGTGCTCTGCAGTTGTAACTGCCTCATTCGATATACAGTTCACAGTCATGGGCGCTTTGCATCAAAATATCAAAATCAATCTCGATGGATTCAACGGAAACGACGACGAAGTAATGCTAATTATGAGGGTAAGAAAGAACACCTTCTTCATGATCAATTTAGTTGTACTGACACTCCGTGCCTGAAAGTTGTTTTGGGCCAGCAGCATACCATTCTTCACAACATTCTACCTCTGCAAAGGAGCCCTTCTCGCCGTCTACGTTCAGATATTCCCCATTTTTATGTACTATCGACGAATGATGTTATGGACTGCTATAATATACGTTGGGCTGGCGTACTTGGTCAGCATGATTTTGCTTTTCACTATTTGCCTGCCCCTTAGTAAGAACTGGTCAGTTAATCCGACAGCGAGAAATCCTGTTCTCAGGCATTGAAACTGACTTCAGCTCTCGGTCAGGTCTGTCGAAGATCGGGTCGTAGGAACAGAAAATGTTATGTGCTCGGCTTCGTCTCCCGCAATTGTCTTCCAAGTCGGCTGGGCATTGCATTTCTTCGGGGATATTCTGAGTAAGTAAACAGAGACCCTGGTCTTTCAACTCAAAGATTTCCTGACTTTCTACAAAGTTTTCTGCCTTCCTTGGCTCATCTTACCTGATTTGAAGATCAAGAGAGCCCTCAAAATCGGCGTTTATTGTACCTTTGGTCTCGGCATCATCAACATGACCTTCTCTCTCGTTCGCTTCATTACGATTCAGACAGCATCGGTCGAGGCCTTGCCTTTCGGTTTAGTTGGTGAGTTTGAACATGCTGCATGTCTCTATAGGCTCTTTGATACGTGTGCTGACGGCTGAGCCGCAGAACTTTGGAGCGAGCTAGACGTCAATATTGGTCTTTTAGTCGCGACATTACCATGCCTAAGACCGTACTTCCGATCGAACCGAAACGCTGGCTATTCGGACAAGTCTAACGCTTACAACTACAAATCAACCGTCAAGACGCTGCAAATAACACGCATGAGCAGATTTGATGTCGTCAGCGAGCCGTCGTACGACCTCAATGTCGACCTTGAGCATGTTGCGGCTTGCTCAACCACTACGCAATCACAGAAGTCCAGCGAGACGGTGTAGAACCCTGGAGATGCAGAGATTTAGAAGAAAGCTTGATGATACCCCAGTGCCACCAGAAGGTAGGCCAGCATTTGAATAAGCGTGGTTAGGTAACGATCATGAGGCTATATCAATTGAAATACACCATCGAGGTGTTGATAGACATAATAAATGTTTTATGACCAGTAATACCCAAGAATCCTTCATATTCCTGTGCATGCATTCAGCTGATATGCTCCTTCTCTTCACTCCTTGGTATTCTGACGAAGAAACCACATATCAAAGCGCCTGTCAGAGCGGTCGCCAGGCTCAGCCACCAGATAGAACGCAGGGCCATTAAGTCTAGGGAACCCCCCGGCTGCCCTGTGATCTTTTCCCCAATAGTGTCTCCCAATGCCGCGAATACAGCGGTGGACAGGTTTTGCGCAGTGATGACCAAGCTTCCTGCAGCACCTTGGTACGATCTGGGCACGTTTGACGTGATGAACACGGAGACAGCTGCGAACGACATATCCGGCCCAAATGTGCTTACGATGAAGCAGGGAAATGAGAGCGCCCAATAAAGTGTACCCGCTTGTTGAGGTAAGAAGAAAGCAGGGCCTGTGGCAAATGCAAGCATACTTCCCATCATGATAACGTGTCCCGGTATTATATGAAGCGTCCTGGATACAATCCACGACGCAAGGGTTCCGCTTACGCCGATAGGGAGAAGATAACATGCGACAATGATGGGTGGCTTTTGCTGGATGGTAAGCAGAAAGCGCACCGCATAGAATTGCCAGGCTCCGGCATAAGCACCGTATCCTAGGAAATAGGACGAGATCAAAGGAAAGAATCCAGGAGTCTTCCAAAGGCGATTGTCGATCAGCGGCCGCCGTACACGGCTCTCAATGAGACCGAAGCTGGCTAAACAGGCAACTCCGATGATGACAAGGGTGTAAGTGTATGGAGTCCACTGCGCAGGCGATCCTTGAGTGAGACCAAAGATGAGCAATCCGCATCCAAGAATTGCTGCTGCAGCTCCGATGTAGTCAAAGTCCTTCAAAGACAATGATTCATTGGGGAGAGAAGGAATACACCAGATAGCGGCGACGAGGCATGCCAGAGACAAGATGGATGTTGACCCGAATATCCAAGGCAAATGTGTACTTAACGCACCGCCCTGTATGAACCCGAGGGCAAACCCGAGGGGAATCATGGCACCCATCAAAGAAAATACTCGGTTCTTCCGTAGACCGGGATTGTAAACCCTCCCGAGTATGCTCATTGCCGCGGAGCAAAGGGTTCCAACAGCCAAGCCAGACATTGCTCGAGCGACGAAGAATAGTATCATTCTCTTAGGTATGACAGAGAACGCACCGATAAGATTCCAAAGAGTAAGCCAGATGAAGGCCGCACAGGTAAGATGTTTCGGACTGATAAGATCTGCCAAGGAGCCCGAGATCACAACGGAAACTCCGTTAGCGACGAGATATGAACCGATAAGCCATGGTGTATTGAGCGAAGTCGTTTTCAGAGCGTCGATTAAAGTGATTTGATTGACAAAGGTATGCGAAAGATGTATTGCAAACAGCAGCTGGCCCATAGAGCATATGCAGACGAACCCGATTTCTTCCGCGAAGGAGGCGAACTCTCGAGGGATGGCAGAGGCTTCTAGTCGACGGGTGATAGCTGATACTCGAGTTTCCGTCTCCATGCCATCGTCTATTGGAGCCGAGCCAAGTTCCATTGCATGGGGTTGAGAGGTTGTTACTGTGGTCGACATGACTAAGGAAGCGTAATCAATAGAAGAAGTTCCTAGTCAAAATTGGCAGCGAAGAGCTTTGGATGTATCTCCAGGCAGGCTGGGATTCTTCAATGGATTGATGCCTTTCTTATTGGAGATCATGTCCCTGAGATTCTGAATGTGATTTATCAGCCATGATACATTACAAATCGTGTTTTCTATTAACAATCCGGGGGGGAAAAAAACTCAGGTGACGTAGAGATGGGGCTCAAAAGCCGAAATCGCGGCCGGCTACTCGGTCTCTTGAGTACGCGCTTTGGAACACCACCATAAAGCCGAAGTCATTTTACACGAAGAAATTTGTCGAATAGAGTTCGATTCGTTCGAAAAGCTGTAGATACGGTAGGATATCAAGTCAATACGAATGGTTTGGAATAGATTTTGATCAAACTTGGTCACCGGTAAGAGCGAGACAAACGCGCCCAGGAAGAATTGCTGTTAAGATAAGATGCAAGAAATCCTTTGGATCTCTATTGATGCTAATTGAATGATTCTATACTTGAGGTCAATTGACCCCGGGCCCTCAGACTCTCGGCTCTTCTTTCATATAGCTCAGATGCGAATGCATGACCCTGCCATCCTTCACAACAGCCAATATAGACTCCTGAGACTTGTCCAGGATTGTGATATCATCCAGAGGGTTACGATCTAGAATCAATAAATCTGCCATGAATCCTTCCTTGACCTGGCCAAGCTTGTTTTCTTGGCCAAGCAGCTTGGCGGCATTGATAGTGGCGCTTTGCAGAATCTGAAGAGATGTCTGGACTTGACTGCGAATAGAGAACTCTTTCGACTGAGCGAAGTGAGTTGGACCCAGCAGATCTGTTCCGAAACATACTGTGACACCGACCTCAGTTGCCATCTTGAGTGTAACTAAGCCCTGTTCAAGTACAGTGGTGACTTTGGCCTCTGACTCAGCATCTAGGAAATGTGACTCCTTTGATACGAAGTGAGTGACAAGCGTCGGCGTGAGAAAGGTCCCCGTATCCGCCATCAATTTTGCAGTTTCGAGATCGATCAGGTTGCCGTGCTCAATACCCTTGACGCCCTGGTTGATGGCCTGTGTCACTGCCTCTGTGGTATAGCAGTGACTCGTGACATATGTCTTTGCGTTATTTGCGACGGTGACTATAGCCTTGATTTCGTCGTCCGAGAACTGGAGCTGGTCGATGCGGTCAGTTGGACTGGCAACGCCACCACCGCCCATGATCTTGATGAAGTCTGCACCTTGGCGTAACTCGTCTCTAGCAACACGGTAGCATTCCGGCACCCCATCTACGATTCGACTGATGCCCGAAACAGCGCCGCCGCAACAGGGGATGGTGTCGTGTCGCCCTCTCATGTCACCGTGGCCGCCAGTCTGGGACAGAGCCTTTCCAGAGATGAAGAGGCGCGGACCGGGATAGATGCCCTCTTCAACAGCCTCTTTCATGGCGAGAGTTGCGCCACCGCAGTCTCTGACAGTAGTGAACCCGCGCTGGAGCATTGACTTCAGAACACTAGGCTGCCGCAGAAGGCTTTTGGTCTCAGTCATGTCTCGGTACGACGCCAGACTGGCTGCGCCTGGTGTAACTGCGATGTGGACATGGCAGTCGATCAGACCGGGGCAGACATATTTTCCCTCAAGGTCGATAATGTTCTCTGTCTTGATCTCAATTCTATCCGACTTTGCTGGCTCGCCTGCTTCAACGGAAATAATCTTGCCGGCGGACAGGGCGATAGTGGCATTGCTGCTGATCGATCCATGAACAGGGTCAACAATTCTGCAATTTTTCAGGAGGTATGGTTGCTGTGGATCAAGCTTCCACGGAGTGATGTACTTCGACATGTCCAGACCAGAAGACTCGGGTTTTGATTGTGTGGTGACCATTGTGGTGTGAGAATTACCGGACAGTTTTTGACTAGGTTAATGCATGCCCATGTCTGACGATAAGTCACGCATGGAGAGACTTAGATATACATTTTGACGCGCTTGCCATTCACCACGGACACATGATATCAAGAAAACATGAGACGAACCAAAGTATGAAAACGTCACAGGCAGTCGGAACAGAAATGATTTGGGGCGTTTAAATGATGCGACTTCCGGTGAGCAGACGATGTTGAAGAATCCGGGAGTAATCCAGGCAGGGCGGATGTTGAGACATTCCGTCTGCGGCTTGAGAAGTTCGTGGTGTGGACCCTTCCTCACCGGTGAACATCGGACGCATGCGGCGACACACATGGTCTGACTTCAAGACCCGCTCGCCGAATGCCATCTTCAGTTAGCGTGTTATATGCGAGAATACGAAAGCGTTCTCGTTCAGCTTGAATCTCGAGTCATATCCTCGGCTATCAGTCCTACATTGGTGAGTGGTCGTTTTTCAAGCACCGGTTGGGCCAGATCGTTGGGGCTGGACCATGGTGCTGATTCAGTGATTCCGATCTTCCGGGTACAGTTTCGTAACCCGTGGGTGAGAGGCTGTTGGGCAAGTGCCAATTGGATGTGACTACAACTTGACCGAAGATGCATCGTTACCTACCTTGTCGTGTGAGATGTGGTGTATGCTCCAAACTGCCTTGTCCAGTCTAAGCGGGGCGATGGCGGACTTCTGACGGGTCAGCGCACCCGGGCATTCATCAGCTTAAGGTAGGTCTCTGACGGCTCACGTGCAGAGGAATCAGTCTTTTCACTAAGAGAGTTCAGATGCGTTCGAAAAAGCTCGTCAATAGCGAGGGTATGGTCTGACTGAAGGATGTTGCTGGCAATTTAAATGTCAATATGTCATGGTTGCAAATGACAATATGTACAAATTAGTAGGCTTATGTGATGGCCTAGATTGAATCTCGAGAGACAAACAACAGGACGTTTTGTTTCGGAAGAATGCAAACAAAAATCTATGCGTCAATGCCATTCGCCAGAACGGCCGTCTGTAATCTATCTGAGCAACTCGGCAATAGCCAAGCAACTTGTTGTGCGGCAAGATAATCAAAGGGATGTACAAAAGAAATGTGATCGTCACTAGGACATCGCTTTTACTAGTTATGAGCGAACACTGGCTTGACCGATGACAGCCTGACAGGGCCATCAACCACCTGCACGGAATACCGGCATGGAGAAGAAGAAATAGGCTAGACCCGAAGACATGGCATTTGAAGCAGCCCTGTCTCTTTTCACAATAGATTCCCACAACGCGATCCGTCCACGTGGGATCCGAAGTGGAATTCTGCTCACGAACAGGCCGTGCAATCTGAAATACGGCACCGCCCGCAATATCGCGACTCATGTCCACTATCCACTCCGGTCCAGACTCGCGGCCAGTAACCATCCCTTTGGGTTAGCATTGACTATTTAGTGAAACGTTGAACTTTAAAGCTCCCAATTGGCACGCTCCTCCACCAAGGGATAAACCCAAAGTCGGCAACAAACCGTACGACGCGGATACAAGCCCCCTTGACAGGATGACACCTATAAATTAATGCAGGTAGCCGGGGAGCCGACGAAGCACAGTCCGCTGCTAGTATAGAGTAGGAGGCAGAACAGGTCCATTGTGAACCTCTGTGGCTCCGTTTCCCGATCGCGTTTCCGCTTGCTCCGCGCTCCTAGCGCTACTTTGACAAATTAGAGGGCACGATTCCCCCATGTAGTCTCACATGGTAGAGAAAGGGGGGCTGTTATTGCTGAGTGGCGGGTTTCTGATAAGTTGCAAGAGCCATTAGTCTTTAGGAATGATACCCCAAAGAGTTTGTCATTCGGGTGAAATAGATTAATGAATTGAGTATTGTTTCTTCTGTGGGATGCCGCATGGCTGACAGTATGCCATCCCGTCCCTTGAGACCTTCTTCATTTGGTTGCGTGCTTTAGAGTGATTGGGACAAGCATCGTGGGCTTCCTGGTATAAATCGAGCTGGCTTTCCTGCGATCTCTTCCCAACCAGCCTTCCATTCAGTTCATTCTCACTTGACTTCCAGGATCATCCCCTCCATCCATCAAGATGCACGGTCTTATTTCTCTCGGCGTGGCCCTTGCCGTCATGGTTCAAGGCACCACCGCTGCCACGAGCGCTGTTGCAACTTGGTATGGTGGAAACCTGAACGGAGGTAACTGCCTGTTTTCCGGTTACACGTTGCCATCAAGCGTCCTGGGTACTGCCTTGTCCTATACCAACTACAACGGAAACTGCGGTACTTGCCTCAATGTGAAGGGACCCAAGGGTAACACCATCAAGGTTATGGTGAGTATCAATAATCTCTTTCAATCACATCTACGAGCCATTTTAACTGGGTATCAGGTCGTCGATAAGTGCCCCTCAGGTTGCGGAAGCGGCCAACTCGATCTCTTCCCCGACGCTTTCGCCAAGCTCGACGATCCCAATAAGGGACAGATCAGCGTCTCATGGGAACAGGTTCCTTGCGGCATCACCTCGCCCTTGATCGTCCGAAATAAGGAAGGAACTTCGAAGTATTGGTATGTGTCTTTTATCACAGCAGTGACCCAGATAGTCTGACTTACATAACTCCTAGGTTCTCCATGCAAGTTGTGAACCACAACTACCCAGTCACCAAGTTCGAAGTCAGTACCGACAGCGGCAAGAGCTGGCAGCCCACCGTCCGTCAGGACTACAACTACTGGCAGAAGAGCAGTGGTGACGGCTTCCTTGTGGACACAGTCAGCGTCCGCGTCACCTGCTCCAACGGTAAGCAGGTCGTCGTAAACAAAGTTGGTACCAAGGAGAAGGCCTCCTTCACTGCATCGGGCAACTGTTAGAAAGGGATCATTGAACAGCCTGCCTCAGGGAACATCCGATTTTCGTACCCCTGGGCTCGGCGTGTTTCTTTGATTGACACACCACGACTCCTCAGTGGGAAAATTTGTACATAGCCTTTACTTCTTGCACATAATTTGACAGTACATACCTTTCGAATGGCACCATGAATCTGGGTTAGACCGGTAATTTGGATCCCTTTTGGGTACTACGTCTTCTTATATCTTCACGCGATCTCTGCCCCCGATGCATGTGTAGCATTCACTCGCGTGGATAGCGGGAGACCAACTCTGAAGGCCTCGTAAACAATGTAAGCGGTAAACCATACTTACTGTTACATCGAGTGCTTTGTCCTGTTCAAACACCAATCAAACAAGGACAAATGCTCTATAAATTTGTAGGTTCCTATTTACCAAAATCCTTTGCCCTAGGTAAGAGATTCAGTTTTGGAAGATATCGCGTAGACACGGACGAGAGCTTTTGTTTTTAGACTCCAAGCTGTTAACGAGAGCGACTCTGAGGCAGGAGGTAGTCCATTGCAACGTCCTACTCGCAACTCAACAATACCAAACAGAGGCCACGGCAAATGGTCATTTTTTGCTGCGTTTCCAGTGCTTGTAAGCCTGTACAGTGCAGTCAAAAGCATGTTCAGTAAGGTAGGTAGTCTATGCTGCCTTGCTTTAGCAAACAGGTGACCAGAATTTGCATCGTCGTGAATGGAGAGACCCTGATGCCGTGACTTTGCTCAGAGCCATGGCATCGGTAGAGTGTCCCATTACAGTAATTTGTGGCTAGAGTGCAGGCGGGCCAGGAAGCCGAGTCAAGGAGCGATCTTCGGCCCAGTGAGCCGAGCTGAGGGGCCCTACTGCTCCGCGCTATCGGTTTATCAAGCAGTGGGAAGAAGACAAAAGTCTGGTATTAGTCAATGCCGAAAGAAAGCAAAAGATATTTGAGAAGCAAACAGAATGCCACGTTCGATTAAGGGGAGAGTAAACTCAAGCCTGAGTTGAGCCGAGATACTGACTTTGGGAGACTGGCTTCTGAGTTGTTCAAAGCACGCTAAGGTGCGCCACAATCATCACTGTGGCTGGAATTGGAGATGCAATCAACATGTCTCCGCACCTCATTTCATCTCGAGATTGACAATTACAAGACTTCAACGAGAGAAACTAGACAACATAGGGCAAATGCACCCATGAGACCTTTTTGTGAATAATTGAAAATACCGATGTGATGGCTGGCGAAGGCGAGAGTTCAAGCAGCTCAGCCGAGCAAGAAGCTGAGACGGCAAACTCTGTCCCGCGCGGCAAGCGAGCGAGCAACGCGTGAGTGCAGCAACCTCCAGGCTCAGCATCCTCGGATGTGAGAGCAGGTATCAGTCAATCGGATTCTAATGATAATTCAAGTTGTACTCGGTGCCGTGAACGGAAGGTGAAGTGTTCGGGCTCATTACCTTGTGCGAATTGCCTGCGCAAGTCGGTGGAGTGCGTCTTTGATAAAGAAGATCGGAAGGTTGTCGTATCCGAGAGGTAATCCAGACCCGCTTTAACGTGTCTTTTGTTTTTCTTTGAAGCCCAAGATCTAATTATCTAAAGGTTTCTTAACGAGTTGAAACGCAAGTCGGGATATGGCGTCGAAGGGGAAATATCGACTTCACCGACAGCGAAACGATCTCGACGTCATCGGTCCACGTCGCCCGCTGATGCTGGCCTTCGTGATGGTAAGCCTTCATCTTGTATCGCGTTACTTAGTGGGATTTCACTTATCATAATAATTGCTACATGTAGTGGTTGATGAAACAACAGCACCAGTGTTGATAGAGGTCGGCCACGGAGCCTCGCCACCGGCACGTAGTTTCAGTCTCGACGACGGCACGACTATCGTCGGCGGTGAGGATGACCCGGAAGAACGCCGTGGTTTCTCGAACATGCGGAATCCATTAGCGAGCGGACCATCAAAGTTCCTCACGGATGCAACAGGTAGAAGGAGTGAGTAACTACTTGGCGTCATCGTTGCTTCTTTCAATCTAAGCGGCTTACAGGATGGCTTGGGCCTTCATCAACTTGGGCATACAGCCGACAGGTACTAAACATGATCCAGGGTCATCTCGGCCAACACGAATCTCCAGAGGTTCCTCTCAATGTTGATGCTGAAGCATTCAAGCTGGACTGGCCCTCGTCTAGAGGCATCACCCCGCAAGCCACAGTTGATATCCCCTCCCTAGACTATGCTCTGTATCTCACAAATACGGTCAAGTTTCATCTCGGGCAGACATACCATCTCTTTGACGAGGAAAGCTTCATGACTGGGCTTTACGATCTCTACAGAACAGGACCGAAGCTGGAACCGACGGTAGGTTCCAGATTGTGGTATATCCAATTCCTCATCATCATGGCTTTCGGGAAAGCTCTTTTAGTCCCTGGAAACCCAAATCAGACCCCTCCTGGAAGTGATTTGGTGACGAGGGCTCTCGAGCTGCTTCCTGATGTTCATGGACTATATCAAGACCCTGTGCTATCCGTAGAGATACTATGCGGTCTTGCTCTATACTTGCAGTCGGTAGACCACAGAAACAGTGCTTATACCTACGTGAGTTAATGGCCAGCCTTTAGTCACTTGCCGAGCCTTTTCGCTGATTCTAGCAGATCGGTCAAGCATTTCGGATTGCCGTTTCGCAAGGGTTACACCGAGAACCACTAAGAGACCAACTTAACGACAGTGAGGCTAACAGACTCCGCTGCGTCTGGTGGACCCTGTATATCTTAGACCGCAAGATGTCATCCCTTATGGGCGCTCCCAATTCGATACAAGATAGCGACATCACCGTTCAACTGCCAAGATCAGACCCGGTTGTTCACAAGTATAAGGCACTCGGAATCCACGTTGTCCTGTCTCAGCTGCTTGCCAAGGTTTTGAATAGTGAGTTTAGAGAGCCCACATACAGGACTGGAACTCTCTAACCGAAACATAGCTGTATACGGCGTAGACGGAAAACTCGATCCTTCATTTCTGAAGAGTGTCCAGGAAGTTTTAAGAGACATGGCAAGGCTAGCACCTCAGCTTACGGCGGGGTTCGAGTTCAAGTTCAACAACTCTGAACCTGCGTCCAGGGTTTCCGCTACACTGAACTTATGTTATCACCAAGTAAGTGAATTTAGAGAACCTTACTAAGTGTCTGGAAGCTGACTATCTCAAGTGTGTCGTTCTTGCCACACGCCCAATCCTCATGTGCCTCTTACAAGATGTTCTAGGAAGGCGAGGAAATTTGAACAGAGGCCTAGCGAGCCCAATCAAAGCACTTTTGAAGACATCATCAGATTCGGCAAACAAATCGCTTCGGATTCTGTCAACATTACAGTCTCAGCACCTACTAGGTAGGCATACATATGATCTACGAGCGGTCCTTACATGAACTGATGTGCTAGTCAGAATCTTTCCTCCCCTTTGACTTGGAGCAGGCGTTCTCATCAGCTTTCGTTCTTACTTTGATGACCTCCATGCCAAGTCTTTCCGAGCGAGATAACCGCTATATGCAAACTACGACTGATATCCTTGATACCATGATTGCGCGCGGTAACGTTGTGGCCCGGTGCCGGAAGGAAGAGCTCGAAAAGCTCCAAGAGATGCTGTGTCTCGCTCAACGTCAGCTCCATGCTCCACCGTCAGTTGCAGGTGACGGCAGCAGCGGTATGCAGGCTGAGAATCAGTCTTCACTGCGCATAGACGCTGGTGACCTTTCATTACCAACCGAACAACCCACAGAAGCCGGCCCGGCTATTGGCAGCACAACAAATGGGCTCGCTTCAGAACAAATGCTGTCCATAGCGGGCTTGCTCGATTGGGAACCGAATATGGCCGCTTTCGACGACGATCAGCTCGCGGGGAGTTGGTTATGGACCGAGGCGATTGCCCCGGATTTTGATTTTAGCGGGGGTTTGCTATGATTGACTAATAGGATACTAGACTGACCCTCGGATGTGTGCTTCCGAAATCAGGTCTGGAGGAATTAAGACAGCTTACGATACTAGGCTCGCTGGAGAAAGACACGCCTCAGAGATAGGGTCGGATTTGCAGATAGAGACGATCTAATCCCGCGGGGTAATCGTCCCATCGACGACGGCCAACAGCCGGCTTCAACACGTAGCTCCATATGCAGGTACTCAGGTAGTGAAGGCGCCAGGAGAAACCTTGCAACAAGCCCAAGTTAGATGGCGAGACTCTTATCAACTAAACTTGAACAAGACTCCGCGACATTCCAGTTCTCTAGATAGGGGCTTGTCCGAGTCAGTTGACTATCTGATACCAGCTTGCGGGTTGACAATCCGAGGATTTCTCCCCGCGTTTTCGACGCCTCGGGACCCACTCCCGAATCGCTTCCCCGGACCCACGGACTCGAGATAGTGACCAAGACTGGGGTGTCAAGGACTTATCTGGCAATTGACTAAAGCGAAGGATCCGATTATAAGACTTTGATATAACACTGACTGTTCCGGCCTGGTGCTTTTGGGTTCATAGAGACACAGGAACTGGTCAACTTGGGTAAACTCTTTGAGTTTCTGTCGAGAAACAACACTCCAAAAATTTGGATGTTGCCATTTTTGCAGCAGTAGACACGCCAATTTAACAGTCCAACTTCAGACAAGTCAACGATGGACCAAGAGAAGATGGAACCTGCGGGCTTGGAGAACCTGTGCCATCAACAAAGTGCGAAGATCGGCCAAGTCGAAGATCCATACATCCAGCCCGGCTATGAACTTCACAAACGTCTCGAAACGCGCCATGTCACGATGATTGCGCTTGGCGGTGCGCTTGGAACAGGATTGCTGATTGGAACGTAAGCTGTCTCCCCGTACGAAAAATGACCGCCCTGGCGTTCGTTCTAACTCACCAATTTACAGAGGCTCGGCTCTAGTCAAGGCAGGCCCAGCCGGCATCCTCATCGACTACTCCATCGTCGGCTGCATCGTCTTCCTCGTCATGGCCGCCCTCGGCGAAATCATTTCTTACATGCCCCTCTCCCACGGCTTCGGCGGCTACGCGACACGCTTCGTCGACCCGGCTCTCGGCTTCGCGACGGGCTACTGCTACTTCTTCAAGTACCTCCTCGCCACGCCTAACCAACTCTCTGCCTTTGCCCTGATCATGAAGTTCTGGGTAGGGGACCGCGTCAACCCGACCGTCTTCATCACCATCGCCCTGGTCCTGATTCTCCTGATCAACAGTATCAGCGTCAAGGCCTTTGGCGAGTTCGAGTTTTGGCTCTCATCTCTGAAAGTGGTCATCATGATTGGCGTCATCCTGCTGCTCTTCATCCTCGCCGTGGGAGGCGGTCCCACCGGCGACCGTCCCGGCTTCAGGTACTGGTCCGACCCGGGTGCTTTCGCCGAGTACAAGGTCGATGGTGCCCAGGGCCGTCTTCTCGGGGTCTGGAGCGCCATGGTGGCCGCCGTATACGCCTTCTCCGGCACGGAACTCGTCGGCGTCACAGTCGGCGAGGCCAAGAACCCGCGTCTGTGCATGCCAAAGGCTATTCGCCTGACCTTCATGCGCATCGTCTTCTTCTACATCATCTCCGTCTTCCTGCTGGGCATGGTTGTCCCTTATAACAGCGCCGAGCTCGTCTTCGCAGCTAAGGCCAAGACCAGTGCTGCGGCCTCGCCGTTTGTGGTGGCCATCACCATTGCCAAGATTAAGGGGCTCGATCACGTCATCAACGGTTGTCTCGTAGTTTTTGTCTTCTCAGCTGCGAACTCGGACATTTACATCTCGTCTCGCACGCTGTATGGCATCGCTGTCGATGGCAAAGCCCCTCGTATCTTTTCCAAGACTACCAAGGCCGGCGTGCCCTTCGTGGCTTTGGGTCTATGTGGTGTCTTCTGCTGTCTGGCGTACATGTCTGTCAGCTCCGGTGCCGCAACCGTCTTTGGCTACTTGACGAACGTCGTCACTGTCTTTGGTAAGTCTGTCGTGATGCTTGAATGAAAAGACCAACACTAACGCGTAATGTACCATAGGTCTGCTTACATGGATGTCCATTCTCGTCTCCCACATCTTCTTCTGCCGCGCCCGCACCGCCCAACGAATCGATGCTGCCTATATCCCGTATCGCGCTCCTCTGGGCTCTTGGGGCTCCTATGCCGCCCTCGGCTTCCTCATTGTCCTGACCTTGACTAAAGGTATCGAAGTGTTCGTCGGCACTTTCGACTACAAGAACTTCATCGTTCAGTACATTGGGATCCCTGTCTACCTGATCTGCATTTTTGGGTACAAGATCTTCAAAAAGTCCCATCGCGTTCGGGCTGAGACAGCCGACTTGGTCACGGGCGTGCCAGCAGAGACCGTTGCCGAGGAGAGAGCAGCGGTCGAGGCAGAAAGAAGGGAAAAGGAGGTAGCGATGGGGAAGAAGAGCGCATTTGCTAAGATTTACCGGAAGGGGTTCTCATGGCTATTCTAAGACGAGTTGATAACATGTAACACTCCCATGCGAAACCTAAGGCTATACGCATTACACATAGTCAGTAGCATTATTTGGGCAAGTCGAATCTTTCAAAGCGATCAGTTCGTTCCGTATATGGGACATTTATGTGTGCAAGTTCCCCCATCGATCTCTCGACCCATTCAGATCGGGTGCTCAATCACAACTTTCTCCAACGAAGCACCGCCATAGGCCACTCTCTGGATCTCCCGTAACCCGGCTTCGCCACCCTTGACAACAGTAATATTGGGGTGCTTCGGAGCCCTTTCGGCAGAGTCCAGAACATGTTCCATGACCCTACGCAAGCGAACCGGAAATTCAGGGTCTTGCGGGTGACCCATGGCACCGACGCTACCAACGGGCCGGTAGCACGTGCAGAAACCAAAAGCCGGATCATGGGGTATGGGTTGCGTGCACACAAGCTTGACAGACTTTTCCTCGACGCCTCCAGACAAGCTCCTGCGGAGAAGCGTCGGCGTAGACGTCTCAGGGTCGGCGTTGGGGCCATGCAGACCGCTGCCAACAGTATCGAAGCCGGTAGTCAGGCTCACGCCGATATCCTTGGCAGCAGCGCGGATATCGCCAGTCACATCGGGGCTCTTATAGTCGAAGCAATGTGTAGCCCCGAGCAGCTGTAGCGCGGCGTGGTTCTTGACGGACGCAGTCGTGAAGATGGGATTGAATCCTGCCGCCTTTGCGAGCTGAACGGCCGCGACGCCGACGCTGCTGGCCCCGCCCCAAATCAGTATCGGCTTGTCGGTGCCATCAGTCCCGGTGACGCCCGCGGCGGGGAAGGCGAAACCGAGAATGTTGAAGATGGCGTCGGCGGCGGTCTGCGTCGTGAGAGCCAGGCCCCCGGCGTCTTTGAGAGCGAGGCCGGGAGGCAGCTTGAAGGTAAGATTACTTTCGACGATGGCCTTGTCTTGATGTGTGCAAGCCGAAGATCTTTGGGGAAACCCGACGGGCGAGATACCGAGAACGGCGTCGCCGATTTGCAGGGTGGATTCGGGCCCGACTGCCTCGACGTTGCCGGCGAACTCGAAGCCGGTGACGAAGGAGTTGAGGCCAACGTGAAAGAAGTTGAGATCGCAGGGGTTGATGCCCGAGTACTTTATTGAGACAAGGGCTTGAAGTTTTTGAGGTGTGTAGTCTTCCGTGACTTGCTTGATGGTGAGTTGGCCATCGGCACCTAAGTAAATTGAGCGAGACATTTTTTGTAAGTTGTTGTTCTTGGTGATGCTGGTAACTTGGCTCATCTTAACATAAACCTCTCGCAAAATTGTGAGGTTTTATATCTGACTATTCAATAATCAAACGATATACAAAGAGCTCGTATGGCTCGGCCTGGACATCACAATGGGCCGCGACCATCGGCGGTTCCCACTGTTAATGTCCGCTTCTCTCGGGATTATGAAAGAATACTGTCGTTGCGCCGAACGCCCCATGGCACCGGACTTAAGAACGTGCTGGGGTTGTCTAAAACGGCGGGAAATAGATTGGGTTTGTCTATGTGATCGATCAGTCGAAAATGATGAACCTTGGACAAGGCCGGAAGACAGACGATACTGCGGCCGACCGGAGCTACCCGGGAAGCTCATCCGGAGTAGCCCTTCGGTTCAACGCCGGTACTTTCGGAGTCCGTGGCTAAAGATAGGCTAGAGGGCTTGCACACAGCATGATCGGACTCAGCTTGACGTTTAGGTTTCAGTCAACTCTGCAATTTATTCGTTGATGGTCTGTTTCTTTTTAACTGTAAAAAACCTCCGCATCAGAATTCCATGTTCTACTAAGTACACCCGGTTGGCAATCACCAAGAGAATAGATTTTTCAGCCCATGCAATTCTACAATACCTGATGGAGAGAACTTTTCCTCGAAACGACAACCCTTGGTTGTTGCTGAACGTCGGCTTCTTCAACAAGTTGCACCGAGCAACCGACGAGCTTTACAAGCTGAAAGAGCTCAGGTTTGAATAGAAGAGGCAAAGTCGATCTTTGACATCATCAGAAAGGGGAAGAAGCCCCTACTTTCGCGGATTGAGCTATAGGATGTTTAGTTTCGTGCGATTATTTAGCTAGGGTATCTACGGGGTTGCATAATGACCACCGATATGGCAATTCCAACTTGCAAGTTCTTCATCTCCATCACCAAAGTTCAACAGACCAAATCAAATTTCCTTCACCCCTCCAGACTCCGGGGTTTGACATCCACAACCTTGTAGATCGAGCTGGATGCCTGGAGCACAACCCACGTTCGAGTTCTGCACACTTTGCAGATCTGGATCAAGCACCCGGAGTCTGTTGCTTTTCCGCGACAGGCGGTGCAACAGGCGCATACTGCGACGGCACGAGACCGCCCCCAGGCTGCGGCGAGAAGACCTGGATCGTCCCGTCGTATGGCCTCGTGGCGACCTTGTTCTTGCAGTTTGAGCAAGTGTAGTGCATGTCCTCACACCACCCCGCGATGCAGGGCACGCATGTGAGGCAGATGCAGAGGAGGCAGCACAGAGCACCGGCAACCCTGAGGAAGTCCGTGTATTAGCTAAACTGGTTCATGAAATACTCCCATATGATCAAAATTAACTTACATTTGCATGGCAGTACCCTCTTTTGCAATGACCGTCTGCGTCCGCTGTTTGCAAAAGGGGCAGTCGATCCATTGCGGCTCGTCGCCCAGCATGTGCAACGGCGTGACGGTCGCTGGGTTCGCGAGGGGGGTAATGGTCGGACCGCCCTTTTGTTGAGCGGGCATTGGTGTTGCTGGTTGTCTGCCCAATTTATCAGTATTTTCTAAGAAGGTGACGGTGTTCTAGGAGACACTTACTCAAGCTGCACTAGGTTCGCTGGCATCTCTCTGGCAGGGGCAGGACCGCTTCCTTGCACAGTAGATGTCACTGGTGATTCTCTCTCATAGGCTGGCGCCGGCTCTTGAATGTCGATCGCTGGGGGAGAAGCAGTCTTTTGTTCCGACATCTTTGATTTTGAGGTCTGCTTAGGTAGTGGTGTAAGATGACGAAATTACTGAATTGTTGGATATCACGGCTGTACGGTCTGTAAGTCACTACGAATGACTTGGATAATTGAGGAAAAGTTGAAGGAAGATAGATCAATGTTGAACAGAGAGACCAAAGGAAGAAGATGATAAAATACAGACTTTTGAGATGACGAGCGCTTGTTCCTTTTCCACTTCATGTAAAACTCTCCCTCCAGGTAAGATTGCCTCCAGTGCGCGTGAGCACTACCAAGGTGGCACTAACAGCGGCACAGCATCGCAGGAATCCACAATCAGGCAGAACCGTAACATCGACAACGATCGCCATTGGTGCTTACGGGAATAGACTCGCTTGGCAGGGGACAGATGTCTCTCCCGGGTCGCCCCCCCAAGGCTCTACGAGTTGGTGTGGGCGGCGCAGCCCTACAACCAGAGCGATTGCGCCTCGTGTATGAAATGCGAGGGTCGTGCCGTTGTGGTGACTAGGGGCAGAGCTGAGAGACACCCTGGGAATCTTACACCCACGCGCTTGGGATGACCAGATGATAGGTGGTCTTACCTGCCTAATGCAGTTTCAATGGCGAAGCAATATCCGATGTTACACCACTTTCTCCCGTCCTCCATAATGATAGAGCAGGGGGAGCAGACATGACGATCGGATAGCGCAGCCTTACTTCGACTTCACGAATCCAATGACTTTTCTGACACAGCCTCTTTCTTATGCAGTAGCGCTCCTTTGAACTTCATCACCACTCTAATTCAATGATCAAAAGTCGGTCCGTTGATGCAGCTGGGAGTCCACGTTCAGGACATGTTGATGTAGTCCCACCAACCCACTGGCCTCTTTGAAAGTCACCCCAGATGGACTAAGCATCCACAGTTCCAACATCGAATTGCCATCGCAAGCTCAAGATGCGCTTAATCAAAGCTTCATCCATACACAGCAGCAACCTCCAGCTCGTCGACTTCAACCCCGATCAGCTCCCCCGGTACGCCATTCTCTCGCACACCTGGGGCGACAACGAAGTCATCTACGCCGATATTAGAAACGAAAATGCCGCCACCAAGCCAGCTTTCCAAAAGGTCCGCTATAGCTGCATCCAAACCCTGGCAGACGGCCTCGAATACGTCTGGATCGACTCATGCTGCATCGACAAAAGCAGCAGCGCGGAGCTCTCCGAGGCCATCAATTCCATGTACGAGTGGTACATGAAGTCAGAAGTCTGCTACACTTACCTCTCTGGCGTCCCTGCCACCGTCGACCCTGTCAAGACCGACGGCGCGTTTGCCTCGTGCCGGTGGTTCACGCGCGGCTGGACGCTTCAGGAACTAATCGCTCCGGCCGAGATGGTTTTCTTCTCCGAGGACTGGGTGAAAGTTGGAGAGAAGACGACGCTGAGCAGGCCTCTATCCGTCATCACAGGCATAGACGAAGACATCCTCACGGGCCTCAGACCCCTCGAATCAGCGAGCCTCGCCAAGCGCATGTCCTGGGCAGCACACCGGCAGACGACGAGACCAGAGGATGTGGCCTACTGCCTGATGGGCCTCTTTGGCGTCAACATGCCCATGCTCTACGGCGAAGGCGACCGCGCCTTCCTCCGCCTCCAAGAGGAAATCATGAAGCAGTCCGACGACCAGTCTCTCTTCGCCTGGGTCGACCTCTCCGCCTCAACCGAGACCTACCACGGCCTGCTGGCCAAGTCGCCGGTCAACTTCGCCTACTCCAACTCCATCATGCCTTACCAGGACTGGGAGCCGCGGCCGCCGTACTTCATGAGCAACCGCGGCCTGCGCATCGATCTACCCCTGACGCTGCGCGACCAAGACATCTTCGTCGCCGCGCTCGACTGTCCCGCGCCGCCGGACTACGAAGACTCTACTTTCCTAGCAATCTACCTCAAAAAGATTTCGAGCGGCGGAGATCAGCAATTCGCCCGCGTGCGGGTGAACCAGTTCGCCAAAGTCCAGGAGCGGGGGAACAAGCAGACGCTCTACGTGCGGCAGACGTTCAACGGCGTCGCGGACGCGGAGGGTGTGTTTCCGCAGCACATCATCCAGCTCCGAAAGGGTCCGCCGCGTGACCAGTACTCGGTGCTGAACCTCGTGCACTCCAAGGAGGCCGACAGAGGGGACCGGCCGGCGGCGTGCACGTCGAGCAGGGGTTCCGGAAGGGACTTGATCCACACGGCGACGGGGAAGACGATTGCTTTCCGCATCCCGAAGGCGGCGGGCCAGCTCGCCGGGGCCGTCACATTCGCGCGGACGGACGGGTCCCGGCTGCTCATCATGTTCGGGTCCACGGACGGCATCCGAGCCGGGTTCCACGCCCGCGAGCTACCGCCTCGTTTCCCGGGCATGAACCAGAAACAGAACCAGAACCAAGCAAAAAGTACGAGCTCATCAAAAGCAAAGGAGAACCAACAGCAAGAACCACCAGAAGTCACCTTCTCATTCGACGACTTGCAGACGATGTTCCGGCCGACCCCTGCGGGCGTCGACGTGGAGCTGGAGCGGTTCCGGGTGCGCGTCGACGTGGAGACGGTGATTGCGAACGCGAGCAAGTACCTCATGGCCGACGTGCTTATCGAACCCGTCAACCGGCCGTGGGACCCGTTTGAGCCGCTGGACGCGGCTCTCGGATGGTACGAGGGGGCGACGGGGCGGCAGAATCGGGGGCAGGCTGCCGCAGCTCAAGCGGCGACGGCGCAAGCGACGGCGACTACTAGTACTAGTGCGAAAACGAAGAGAGCCTCTTCTGGGTGGAGGAGGTTGATATCGTGAGTTATGTCTAGCTTCGATGAGATCACATGTTGCGGTAGCTAGGACACAAGGGTACTTGGATATGAAGGAGAGAAAAGGGGCACATGAATCGAGGGAGATACTACATGGCTGAAGAGAGTATACTGGCGTTCAAGGCGTACATGCTAGCATTCTATAGGTGATTGAATTTCAAGAACTAAGATAGGGCATAATGCCCCCTTCGATGTCATAAAGTCCAGTATCATATTCAGTTAACAACGGTGTCAAGAGTCAAGCTCCGAAATCTCTCCCTCTTTCCTTGCTTCAGAGGCCAACCTAAAAGGCACCAGCGACTTACAGGTAGAAGTCCCCTTATCCTCTCTCAGAGCCCTTTCCACGACTACCATCACCAAGTGCCGGCAGCAACGGCGTACCAGTGCCACCAGAGATGGTAGAAAGGTCAAGATCAGTATGTGCTGA